CTAGTTACATGGACTTAGTAAATTGGTATTGGGTCACAAAATTGGTTTTGTGTTGAATATAACAGTTTTTTAATACTAAAAAACAAGGGCAACAACAATTATTCTTTAGGACAACCAATTCATATAATTTCTTTATTATAGAAAGAAATATATCTCTAATAAAAAATTATTTACAATTTAACTGTCATCGTATTAATTATTTTTGTAGAAATAGAAATGGTAAAAGGAGAAAAATATAATTTAGTATTGTGCATTACATACACTTTTAAAGTATATGTGTGGAAGTCACATGAATATGTACTATTTAGTATTCAAATAATGAGTGAACATATGAAAAACATTTGGTGTATATAAATGCTCTTCAAATTTCTTCATTAAAAAATAAAACTTTGGGTTAACCTTATTTGCATGACTCCAAACAATATTTTTCGGTCTCATGGCAGATCCTTGTCTTCGGTTCTGATCTGCAGCACCAAACATCAATTCTTGTTTTATAGCATGGTGATACTTGTACTTTATCTCTGAAAATATCTTTAAAGCTGAAACCTATATACAAAAATAACATGCCAGTTAGTTTTAAATACAAACTTTGGAGGATATGATTAACCCTAATGGTAATGATGATAAATAATTGAACAAAACCTAAACTATATTTGTCATACATTCATGAAGACTAGCGAATGAAACAATGATGATACAAAAGATAACAAATTTGAATGATGACATAGTGATGTTTCTCTTAAAAAACGTTTGTTTAGTTTTATTTAGTTTTATGGTAGAAAACTTTTCATACATATATATATTCTAATTAGTAATAAACTTTTTTGTATGATGATCCGGTAAAAACTGAAGTTAGATTTTATTGGCTAGTTTCGTGTCCTTTCTATCTTAAACTATTTGTATGTTAAGTCTTTTTTATGTCAACCATTCATTTTTGGTTTTGATTCGACATAACACCACCGAAAAATACAAATTAACGACAGCCATATGCATTGTTGAAAGGTTAAATCTATTGCTAAAATTGATTAGTCGTTTGCTAAATTCCGTAATGGAGTCTTCTATAGCTATCATGTATCTAGTTAACGCCGAAGCAGCCATAATAATCTTTGATTGGTTTTCAAATGACTCATTTTACGTGATTGTCAATTAAGAAGAGAAAAAATAAGTCGAAACTATCATTTGCCTATACACAAGTTCACATCAATACCTTTTGTAGCTATAATCGTACACGAAAGTCGTGGACCTACTCACAAACCAAACCTGATCGCAATGTCATCAAAATCATAAGTATCTTTAGACGACTTATCTTGGAGTTGAGAATACAGCTTAACATCAAGTCATATATAAAATTCAATGCTATCTATGAGATGCATATACACCAAACGTGTATCTTCAATCACTCAATTTCCAACTTTGTTTCTTCTTTTATTCATTCAATAAACCGAGTCTTTTACATTTAAATACAATTCAACAGTTAAAATAAATGGCTTTATTCTTGTTTTTCTCAAACATTTAGAAACTTTTTTTAAATACAATCGCCAAAACAAGAAGACAAATAATTATATATATTCGACAGATCGTCGAAGAAAACAAAATCTTGTTTAGCAGACAACATTAGCTGCTCCAGCAGAAACAGGGCTTGCAACTTCAAGCAACATGGGATTCCACTTCATCACCACTTTATCACCGCACCTTCCATCCGATGAAACTCCCGCAAATTGCATCTGACTTGCTTCAACGGAAGAAGACGGATTTGTCTCCGTAAGTGTCAGCTTCTTCTGAGCCACCGACTTGAGCCTAAACCTCTCTGCTCTTGAACCAATCACCTGTCCCAAAACCGATGCTGCTATGGTAAATACCATCGCCATCTTAGGCATCAACACCGACTTCCTCAGTATTCCTATGAATGGAACAGCTGCGTGAAGAGCCACAAACCAAGATGCCGAAAATTTCTCAGTGTGCTCTCTCCAGACCCCTAGAGGCACGTTTAACGCCATGCCAAGCATCCCGATCACTAGTACTTTGGACGACAAAGGTTGAGGCCGGAGGTTCTTGGCGAAAGCTGTTTTAGATATCGCTGCTCGAGCTGCGACTATTGCTTGAGGGCACTTGTATTTCATCCCTGGAGGGGGTTGCAGAATCTTTGCCATAAGCGGTGCCACACCACTTACAGCTCGATATGATTTCGCAATCGGGCAGTTTCCTGTTTGAAGCCAATCGTCGCTCATGGATTCGTGGTTTCCTCCCTGAAAGAGAAACAACAAGTAAGCGATGCTCTAAGAGAAACAAAAATCAGAGCAATTATACACTTGCATGCTTCAGTGTTCTTGAAAGCTTAACCATATCTTTATACATGTTCTTTAACTAAAGCACATCGATTTGAGATGTTAAAGCAAGAACCGGATTAAACTTTTACCTTAGAAGAAGAATCCCTCTTTTTGGAAGAGTTTGACTTTTTCTTTTGATTTTTAAACATCTCAGAAAATGCATCAAAACCAAAAGGCCCTCCAGGTCCAAAGGATGAGAGACTAATTGTCGCTGCCTTAGCAGCAAGTGGATGGAATACAGGAGAGGAAAGCACAGGCTTCTCTGCTTCAGCTCGAGCGTTGTTGGAGAGCGGGACAACACCATCTTGCCCATGGAAAAGCCTAAATGCCGTATCAAAATTGGGTCCATCTTCAAATATCGGTCCTTTTCCTGCTCGTACCTAAAGGATACATACAAAGCCAAGATGACATGTGATTAGACAAGATCAGGAACAATTCATATCAATAGAGCAAAACAGGCGAACGATTACTTACAGGCATGGCAAAAGGCAAGGATGAAGAGAAGGAGAGATTAGTGGGCTCATTGATGTTCCTCAAGAATGGGCATCGGAGAATGTCTAACTGAGAAGCCATGGGATTTTCGTTCAAGCCTCCAGAACAATGATCCATTCTTGCAGTGTTGAAAAAGGAGAAGAATCTGAACAGCAGCAACAACAAACAAAGGAATCATAAGAAAATGTGTCCTCACAAACACAAAACCACAATGACAATGGCATCTAGAATCAGACCTAAATCGAGATGAAACCTTGATGAAGCAAGCCAAAGATACTTAGTAGAGAAAGAGGCAGATGACAAGAAATGTAATGGGTTCCACAAACGGGGCCAGTGCTGGATGTACGCTAAGTATAAATTTATATGGACAATAGCAAGATGCTTGAAGAACATCCTCCAAGCGTTTGATATTCCATTCTACCAAAATCATATTCCAGAATTTCAGAACCGAAAAAGCTGGTAAATTTTGAAAACAATTTCGTATTGAATCACACTTGAGTCCATTCTATTCGAGGAGCCACACACAGAAACATGCAAAAAAAAATCTCCGATAGTTCACATTTCACAACTCACCGGCAAGAAATCCAAATTAACCCAACAAAATCAGGAAGAATTGGAGCAAAACCCAAAACGAAAGCAATCGAATTCGATAGCAGAAATCAAAATCAGTAAAGCTACGAGTCTAAGAGCAGTAGCTCCACCGAAGAGTGATCAAACAGGTCGACGAGTCTATAAACGACTAAACCTAAATCAGATCTAGCATATATCTATAATCAATGTGAGATCACAACAACAACAACAATAAAAAACACAAATTGGGCAAAAGGGTAAAGAGAGAAACCCATAAAACAAAAACTTACGGGTAAGAGACGGAAGACGACGACGATGATTAGAGAGACAAATCGGAAAAGAGGCGTGTGTGAGGAACGATACAATTCTCCCCCTTGAAATGGAAAGAGAAGACGAAAAAGGAGGATGAGAGGTTAGGTGGTTAACGTGGAGAAAGATGGCTTTGATTTTAAGAGCAAACAAAGATTAGCTGGTGAGGACTTTGTACCTGCTTCTTCGTGCTCACCACGCGCTCTCTCAAAGGCAGCCCATCTGCTTTGACAATTTCAATATTTAATGCCATTTGCATGCCTTTTGTTTGAATATTATCATTTTTATAAATTCCCAACCACTATTTTGTCAAAGTCTTTGCCACATTTTACTTACTTTCTTTGTTTTTTTTCTACAGAATTTATAAGTTAGGCCGGCAATTTTCCTCTCTCTCTCTCTCTCTCTCTCTCTCTCTCTCTCTCTCTCTCTCTCTCTCTCTCTCTCTCTCTCTCTCTCTCTCTCTCTCTCTCTCTCTCTCTCTCTCTCTCTCTCTCTCTCATCCCGACGTGTTTCCTTGTTGACCCAATAATTCCCGGTTTCATGTAGGAAAATAGTTACGATTAGTATATGACTGTGTTTGGAAAATTGGCTTCTTCCTATTTGAAGTATGAAGATATGTTATTTTTATACCCGAATTATACTACCGTACTAAATTATACATTAACTTAATAAAATTTCAAATTACATACATAATCTTTTATTTTGTGCTAAAACATACATTTGACTTAACAGTGTTATCAAACCGTTAAACTTTGTGTATGTGGCAGCCACGTGCAATTTTTTTTTGTTTACAAAAATCTGATTCAATTTCTCCCACATTACGACATTTTTTTCTCTTTTTTATTGTCTTCCTCTTTCTTCAACCCCTCTCTTCTTCAACCTCTCAACATTGACGATAATGGTTACGGTGTTGTTACTCTTGTCCGGGATGATTTGAGTGAAGAGTTCTGGCTGGCCATCGAGCTTGCTCTTGTCAGTCAAAGACTCGAATCTATTTTTTTCCAGAGCCCATTCAACAGAAAAAATAAAAATATCAGATACTCCTTCTTGACGCTAGGCTTCCAAAATCATTATACAACAAACCCATATCATGCACTCTCATGATCAACACACAGATAACAAACCCCAAATTATGATGCAAGATGTCTCAAACTTATATAGATTCGAAGAATCTCAAATTCTCAATCGACATATCTACTTCATTAAGTGACATTCCCAATTTAGGGTTTTACTCTTTATTAAAAAAAAAAAAGCGAGGCTGCTACACGAAGGAGAAACAATGTTTATGTATTGGATACTTGTAGGGTTTTTAAATCCTTCTGATTATTGAATATTGAACGAAATCTGGGGAGTTTAAAACCCCCAAATCGTTACTGTGTGTGGCGAGAGGTTGAAGAAGAGGGGAACTGGGGAAGAAAAAAAGAACAAGAGAATACATGAAAACGACTGCGTGTTGTTGGGCTAAATTGACTCAGATTTATCATTTATGTAAACAAAAACAATTTTAGATGTGGCTGCCACATAGACAAAGTTTAACGGTTTGATGACACCGTTAAATCAAATGTATGTTTTAGCACAAAAGAAAAGATTAGATATATAATTTGAAATTTTTATTAAGTTAATGTGATTTAGCACTGTAGCATAATTCGGATATGAAAATAACATATCTTTATACTTTAAATAGGAAAAAGCCAATTTTCCGACTGTGTTTTGATTTGTCATTTGTGAGAGGGTAGAAAAGCTTTAACAACTCTTGTTTTTTTTTCATCTAAAGAATGTTTGAATAATATTTAAGTGATAATTTATCTGTGGATTTAATATGCGGAATGATTAAGGGTGATCATGAGTGAATACAAAAATGTTATTTATCAAAAAAGATGAGTGAAAACGTTAAATGGATGATGAAATAGTAAGATAGAAAACCGGAAACATTCTAGTTGAATCGAGTTCTTACAAAATATTAAGGCTGCCTTTTTCTTTTCTTTGAACACATAATATTAAGGCAAATTTCCTAGCCTTGTAATCTTTGTTACTTGTACGCTTAGAGTTTTTAAAAATCTTATCAATTGGACCTTTGATCCTAATGGGTTTCTTTTCATTTTCTTTATTTATTACTAGGGGTTGATCCGCGTTTCGCGTAGAATTTTGTATTGTATTTGTTGACCACATTTAAAAGAAATTTCTACAATATCAATTTTTTCATTAGATTTTGTATTTCAATTTTTTATTTATATTTATAGTATTTAATAATTTAATATATAATATTTAGAAAATAATCAAATAATATATCAGTTAAAACTTAAATCAAATTTCGTTTGTAGATATCTTTATATTTATGTGGGTTTATGATTTTCGAATATATACAATTCTTGATTGTTGCATTCAAAAAAAAATATATGTAATAAGCAATTAATTATTTAAAAATATCTCGATTCTCTAACATATTTCTAAAATATATTCATAATCTCTCTTTTCCTCTACACTCATTTCCCTCTCCATCTTCCTCTCCTTCTCCATCTTCATCTCCCTCTCCCTCTCCCTCTCCCTCTCACTCTCCTTTTCCCTCTCATGTTCTCTCTCTCTCATTAATGCAACATATTGAACCACACACAACATATTAGACCAGTTGAAATTTCAATTTTTCTTAGGGTTTTCTTTTTTCTAGCCACTCTCAATGTCACCTCTCTAAACTGAGCTCTGTATAATTTTTAAGGGGAACGTCACTCATTTTATGTTTTAAAGATTAGGTTGAACATGTTAACATTTTGTGATACCACAATTTGTTTCACAAAATATGCATTCTCACATCTTTATATTATTATTTAAGTAGTCATTTTAAAAAAAAATTATTTTGTAAATTATTACATGATATGCTATTACAAATAACAAAAATTATTAAAATAAGAAATGATATAAATGTCACTCAAGCTTTTTGAAACTCGTGCAAATATTCTTTACCTGTTAATATGCATTTAATTTTATGATCTATTATTCTATTTTTCTTTGAATTTATGTATTTTGTTATATTCTAATGTTTATAACGGTTTTAAAACAAATTTGAATATTTTTAGATATTAAAATTTTGGATCCGAGAATTTGTTTCTCGGATTTGGCAAAACTGGATCCAAATCCGGCTATCTTAAAATTTTATGGTTTACTATTCATATGTATCAAATCATATAAATAAAATAAATCATTTAAAATAATAATGAATAAATGCATTAATATATAAATTATTATTTATAAAGAATGTTTTTTCATATTCTTGTTAAATTAATAGATGATAGTTACCATGAGAATTAAAGTATAATAACACAAAATATATATAATGAATTATAAATTAATAAATGAATTGATGATGTGTCAAAATTTTAGAGTTTCAGAAAATGATGTGGCATCATGAGAAGAGAGAACATTTTACTTTATATATATATATATATATATATTCTTTTTTTGTACAAACATCGTTAGGGGGGAGGCGACAAAATCAGGACTTTTCTCTATCGCTGAGAAAATAGGTCTGTGTTCTTCGATCAGAGACTCTCTCGACCACTATGGATCCCTTTGCGCCAACAATCCTGAATTGCTTCGACTGATCATTAATGTAAGTCTCCTATTTCAATGTTCGATTGATATGGTGAATCAAGCTGTAAATTCTAATTAGTTGAATGAAATGGAAATTGAGGTCTAGTGTTGTTTATTCATGTGGTAAACGAATTTTTGAAAATGGTGTTATGTCAAAACCTTTTTATGTCAGAATCATTCGTGGTAAGACATGAGAATAGCTTTTTAGAAAATTGAGGTATAAAAGTCGGAATGAAAAAAAAACTTTGTCACATTTTAAAGCTGATATTTTTTTTATTATAATTATTAATGAATGTATATGAATGTGAAATTAAGGGTTGATTGAGACATTTAAACAGCTAGAACAAGAAAAGATATGGCGAACGCGATGGTGTCAAATCAAGCGAGAGTTCATGCCTCACACATTGAACGAAGGGGGAGTGTAGGACTCCTGAGTGATGAGCATCTGAGGAAGTTGAAAATGTGTGACTGGTAGTATATTGGAGTATCCACTGTCAGAGACCAGTAAAATCCTGGAGGAGGCGGATGTGGTGTGCACTATAATGATCAACTTGTTATGCTTTTTGTATCATAAGTGTTTATAATGTTTGTTTTTTACTCTATAAGTTATGAAAATTTGTAAGATTTGGCTTTTGCTCTATAAGTATTAAAAATTTGTAATGATTGTTTCTTGTGTTTGCAAAAGGTGGTCTCTTTGACTTAAAAATGTTAGATACAAGAGAAAAATATGGTTTGTGCACTATTTTGAATATGATATTTTGATAAATCGTCATATTATTCGAGACCTATAAACCAATAAATGCATAAAACTGATATTCTGATAAATTCAAAAAACTCCAAAGATATGCTTTGATGAATTTTTTATTCAGAACCAACTTTGTTTGTAAGGTTTGTAATGAACATTTGTCCTGCCTCTCTTATGTTAATGAAAATTTTTGAGGTTTGTTTCTTGCGTTTGTAAGTTTTGTAATGAAAATTGTGCTATATGTGTGTTATATATGTTGACACTAAACATCTAAGCAATCACTTAATATAACCAATACTATATATTATATAATTTTTTTTCTTAAGTACCTGATCGATATTTTTTATTTGCTTTGTTGTAGTTCGAAATTAAAAATTATCTTTTTCGATTATAGTGTCTCAATTTTCATCTTATAAATTTTACTCTATTTTCATTATTCCTTATATTTTCATTCATATTTTGCTTATATTTTACTTTTATTTTGCTTATTTTGGACAGTTTTGTTTCCTTTTTTTTTTATCTCGGTTCGGATAGTTCCTAGCTAACACCAGATTATTTATTCCTTGTGATTGTGAAACTCAAATATATACATAATACACGTATATATTGTAACGTTACAATGATTACGTATAGATAATTTATACCTAGATTTGGTCTTCAACTATTATTGGAATGTTAAGTAGGACCGCTTAAATTATCTTAAATGCAAACGACATAGGTCAGCTTCTTTGTTACATTTGTATTAAGGTTTGTTTCTTGCTCCTAATTAAGGTTTGTTCTGTCAAATTTGTCCTAAATAATGAAAATATGCTGTATCTAACATATTTTAGTACTTTTATTTAAGTTCTTTACTAAAGTGCTGATGATGGGTTTTTATAATGTACGTGTTATAGCGTTTCCACAATTCATTTTTGTCTTTCGCATATATTTGACATATATTTGGGGCTTTGTTGTTCTTTAGTGATTCAGTTATATATATATATGTATATATATATTTTATATTTAAGTTAATTATTAGTAAAATGACCAAAACAAATTTAATAACCTTTTAATACCAAAAAAAAGATTTCATATCCTTGTTCGGTATTTACCAATCCTATAGAGTATGTCAATCACTATATATAGCTAGCTCGATTATTTCGGTAATAATCCATAGGGTGACGAAATAAAAAACCTTTTGTTAGCAGTAGAGAATACTCTAGTATCCTTAATAATTTCCTAATTCCTATACTTATAGACGGTTAAATTTACAAACATTCTTGAGATTGTATAATATTTTGAAAGTGATTTATTTTAATCTGATATGTCGGAATATGTATTCAGATTCTGATGTACCGCTTATGTATGGAACATTGAAGCAGATGCTCTTCTCCTACACATCTCTATTTTGCTAACATCTTTTAGACTCTTAGTTAAATATTTGAATTCAAATACGAGAAAGGAAAAAATAGTGAAGAAACTGAAAGTGAGGAGGAGGAGGAATGGTTGGAAACGGATTTTAACCGTCTAATGAGGAATCTAGCTGCATGGTTGGATGGACCACTCCCTTTGACCGTAGAAGAACCACACAGACTCCATAAAGTAAAAGTGCTATTGCTAATTAATTCTTTACTTATTTTAATGCAACAAATTTTATTTAATGCCAATATGGATTAGAATAAGTGAGTGAGGCCAAAACGAAAGGTGGAAATAATAATCAAGATGCAAATGAGTTTTCATTAGTCAATCCTTTTCATACCTTTTTGTCTAAACCATACATACGTTGTCTGTTTCTTCTCCTTTGATATAGGGTTTCCTTTTCTTTCTTTTTTGGTATATATAGGTTATTCCTTATATTTTTCTTTTCTCAAAATTCAATAAACACATCAAGTGATAAACTGATACTACGTACAAGCTTATAAACTAAACACTACACTTTGCCACAAACGAAGATGATTTCTGCCACCGATAGTGTTATATATATATATATATATATATATATATTTCATTAATTAATTAGATTGAAATGTTGATGTTACATGATACTAAGTATAGAAATTGTTACGAATAAGAACTTTCACATGAAACATGTTACTTTCATTTACCAAAAAAAAAACATGTTACTTTCACAAGATAATTGCCGGAAAATTTATCTTGTCGGAATATTGATCTCCTGTGACATAAAGACGAAATCCCCTTTCCTCGGAAGAAGATCTACTGATTTTTCTTTCTATTTAATTTAATTAAAAGAAGAAGGTGGAGAAGAACAAAAAAAACTGAAAAAAACACGTGCTGCATGAGGGATGGCCCAGAAGCCCATTAACCTGTTTATACGAAGACGTGCCCCTCTATAATAGTATATCGTAGTCTCAATCAACTCTCACGATTGTCCTAAAGTGCGACTTGTGTCTGTAAATTAATTTCACAGGAAACGTTCACAATGAAGTTGTCTTTCTCTCTCCCTCCCAAATCCAGATCCACAGTTTTACCGATTTCGGAGAAGAATGATGAAGGCAACGTCAAGGAGTTCGTCACTGAATTCGATCCTTCCAAAACCCTAACCGATACCAAACCGAGATACGTACTAATACCTCCCATCGAGGACCGTCGGAAGGTGATCAAGAACATCCATCTCCCGCTACAATCAGCTTCCGGTCTCAAATTTGAGGCCGATAATATTCCTCCCTCTGGTGGCTCCGAACAGATCTCTTACGGTCTCAATCTGCGTCAGAATGTCGAGGAGGACAAGCCAGCTTCGAAGCCAGAGCCTGTGGAGCAGATGTTACTGAAAAGTATGAGGAAACATCTGGAGTCGCTCCCTGATGCGCCTCTATTGGAAGATTTCGAGAGCGTTCCTGTTGAGGGTTTTGGAGAGGCGTTGCTTGCTGGGTATGGTTGGAAACCAGGCCAGGAAATAGGTTTAAAACCTAAAGAGGATGTTCAGATTGTTGAACACAACAAGTGGGTTGGTCATTCTGGAATCGGCTTCAATCCAAGTAAAGCTAGGGTTAAGGGTAAGAATGCTACAGTGAAAGAAAGTGGCAAAGAGATGAATGTGTCTTTTGTTGGAAAAGGGGTCAGGTAGAGAAACAACCTTAAAGGGTAAGAGTATAGAGAAACTTGGTTCTGGAAGTCAAAAGGAATGTAGAGTAGTGCGCAAACGAAGTAGAGAAACAGAGGGAGAGAGTCAAACTAGAGAGAAGACCACATGGCTTAGGAGTCGTATAAGGGTGAGAGTGATAAGCAAGGATGTGAAAAGTGGGAGATTGTATCTTAAGAAAGCAGTGGTGACCGATGTGGTTGGCCCAACAACTTGTGATATCACTATGGATGAGTCGCAGGAGTTGGTTCAAGGGATCGATCAGGAGTTTCTAGAGACCGCATTGCCCAAGCGAGGAGGGCCTGTGTTGGTTCTATCTGGTAGACATAAGGGTGTTTATGGCAGTCTGGTTGAGAAAGATTTGGAGAAAGAAACTGGTGTTGTCTGAGACCTAGACAGCAAGGAGCTGCTTGATGTTAAACTTGAACAAGTCGCCGAGTACATGGGTGATCCGGGTGATATTGGATACTGATTCACTTGATTCTTCTCTGAAGCAGAGCTGGTAACATCAGGTATCAAGAGTACATTTTCTTGCTATCAGCTGGAGATTTCAAATCCCGAGGTTAATGCAACTTTACATAAGGCAGAGTTTGGTTTAAACTGATAAAATCTTTTTTTTTCATGTAAAACCAGCTTGATTTAGATCGGGAGAATCTTACGGTTTTATGATACCATGTGCTATGGCTCGTACTTCTTTGAGAACACTAGATCTTGAATTTCATCAAATCTGATGTGAATAGAAGAAAGAAGAAAGAAGAAAGATAGGAGGGTCTGTGAATGCGGTAGACGTACGGTAGACCTCTCGAAGACTCAGCTTTTGTTGACAAGATACAGTTTAAGCTTGGTGCCTATATATTTTGCTAGTTTAAGTTTCGTTAACTTTTGGATGTTATACAAGAGCAGACTTATGTTATATATTATTTGATGAATTTATGCTATATATATATTATTTGATGAATTGTGTAATTTTCTTTGTTGTGGCTTGCAAACTCAGTTATGGATAACTTGTTAATTCGCATTTGTGATGTGCGTGCTGCGAAATTGACCAAAAACTTGAATTCCATTGCGGTTTAATGTACAAACAAAGTATACTTACAATTCCATTGCATGTACATTGAGCCGAGGGACCTACATTTCCCCTTGGTGAGTATGGTACAACAACCTTTATTGTGTTACAAAGGATTTGGAATTTTGTATGATCGCTTATGCTTTCGGGATGAATCAGGATATAAGTTAAGAGAGAATTGGCTAGAGGGAGTCATAGAAACACCCATGATTAGTTCCGAACCAATGTCCATTGTATCGAAACTACTATGTTTATTTCAGTGTCTAAAAGGCTATAGGCAAACCGCTATATACTGCATATTTTATAGTCCTGCGGTGATGGAATGGGAAGAAAGAGGTACTCATACCACAACATCCATACTGATTATTATCTAGTCAGAACAGTAAAGAATGTAGAATTAACTATTGGTCGTTGTATAAGCCTAAGTAATGTCACAATTAAATAACAAAAAGCGTGCTCCTTAATATACCACAAATTTATCATTGTGAAATTCTGGAATATTTATTGAGTTGAAAGTATGAAGTGAAATGAAGTGAAGTGAAGGGAAATGTAATCAGTCAAACTTTAAAGCTCCACCATAACAATTATGTATAAAATTTCAAAGGTGAAAGACATGAAGAGAAATCTAAGGTCGAAAATATATCTACTAAAGGGTTAAGCACTTTAAGTGGACGTTGAATTAAGGGTAACATAGTATACACAAAAAGTCTGTCTTCGATGAGTTTTTATTTTCTTTGTCACCAATAAGCCTTGAAGTATTGAAGTTATTTTTTGTTTTTCCTTTTATTATCAATGTACAGTGTGGAGCTTCGTTGTGCTTTTAGTAATTCAATTATATTTAGACAGATTTTTGGTTTCAATTAGTTATTTGTGAAATGACCACAGCAGATTAAATAATTTTGTTTGGTATTTACCAATCCTATAAAACTATGTCACTCATTAAATGTCTTTTCGTCGAGCTATATTTTTTACCATAGGGGCGACAAAGTAAAGCTCTTTTGTTAGCAGTAGAGAATACTCTAGTATCCTTAACAATCTCCTATGTATCGTTGGTTAGATTTACATATTGCAACAACATTCTTATTTTGAAAGTGACTTATTTTAATATGATATGTCGGAATATGTATTCTGATTCTGATGTACTCAGTGCCGTGCCAAGGTTTATAGGGGCTTAAGGCAAACTAAAAAATGGGAAAATGATTTTTTAACAAAATAATATAATATAATTTTAAAATCATATAATATATTTAAAAATAAAATCTTAATCTAAAAAACCTAATTAAAACATAATATTTTATCTTTCTTTCTTATTAACGAACTCATTAAGTATTCATTTATTATCTAAATTTTTTAATAAAAAAATATTCTCTCAAATTGGCTATGCAAAATTGAAAAAAAATCAGATCTACAGAATTTTTTGGATTTTCAGAAAAAATAATTTTTTACCAACTTTCAGCTCGCTAAAAAATAGAGCTTAGCTCGGATTTTTGATCTGTAAACTGTTATGGATTCTTTGTAGCGATATTTTTCCAGAGGTATGAAAATAGGCACTTAGATCAATCTGAGTTGCTGGCAAATGACTCAGCAAAACCTTCACTCGAACAAATTTTAAAGTGATGACTGTAGAGATTTTTATAGTGTTTCACTGTATTAATTTTTTGTGTCTCTCAGAAGAAGGTGGATGGCATTTATATAAGGAGGGAGTTGAGCTCCTTAGGTCTAAGATAAAAAAAAATGACCAAATTACCTTTACTTACATTTAAATTTTTTTTTCTTCTCTTAGGCTTTAGAGATTTGGTCTTATTTTAAAATGTCATAAAGTCGATAATCTAAACAAATCTTAATCAAGTTTCTAAACATATTCTTCCAACGTAATCTTAATCAATTCCCTTAATCTACTCCTTTTTTCGTCTTATAAAAAAAATAAGAAAACACCAACCTTAAACCATTTAATTATCTATTACGAAAATGGGATCTTAAAAAATTATAAATTTTGGGGGGCTTAACGCCAAAACCTTTTTCATTATATGGTAAGCACAGCTCTGGATGTACTGCTTATGTATGGAACATTGAAGCAGATGCTTTTCTCCTACAGTACTCTATTTTGCTGACATCTTTTAGACTCTTAGTTAAAATATTTGAATTCGTCGAATACGAGAAAAAAGAGTGAAGAAAGTGAGGAGGAGGAGGAATGGTTGGGGACGAATTTTAACCGTCTAATAAGGAATCTGCATGGTTGGATGGACCACTCCCTTTGACCGTAGAAGAACCACACAGACTCCATAAAGTAAAAGTGTTATTACTAATTAATTATTTACTTATTTTAATGCAACAAAATTTATTTAAACAGTCAATTTGTCTTTGATCAAGTGAGTGAGGCCAAAACGAAAGGTGAAAATCAATGATAGTCAAGATGCAAATGGGTTTTACGCTTTTTGTCTTAACCATACATTTTCTGTTTCTCCTTTAATTGATATAGGGGATCCTTTTCTTTCTTTTTGGTATAGGTGTTTTTTTAAGTTTTTTAACTTTCCTCAAAATTTAATAAATACATTAAGTGATGAATTGATACTACGTACAAGCTTATAAACTTAAAACGATGATTTCTGCCACTGATATATATAATTCATTAATTAATTAGCTTAAAATGTTGATGTTACATGATACTAAGTATAGCAATTGTTACGAATAAGAACTTTCACATGAAACATGTTACTTTTCAGCATATTTAGAAATGGTGACATGGTCCATGTGGTCTCGATCGGTACATATGGCCTCGATCGGTACATGTGGCATACTATATATATCACACCACATGATATTCAAATTTTGCATTTACTAAGAGTCTGTCCTGGAATGGCAAAGGACAATGTAAGTAAATCGTGACTAGCTCACTCATTTTCACCAACCTCACACATTACATACATATACGTAAAAATCTGACGGTGGTCATGAGGCATCACGACTATTCCTGAAAGTATAGTGTTGATTAAAATTATCTTGTCGCTTGAACTTCTAAATTCAGCATTTTTGACATGCCACCTTTCATTTAGTACTCACTATCAAGTTTAATTTGATTTTGATTCATGTTTCATTAGTGCTCTATAGAGAATTCTTTTAAATTTTTACTTTTTTTTTGTTAACTCCATTTTTTATAATAGTAAATAAATTGTGTATTTTACGGTGACCTAATAAATGGAAATGGAAGTCCATTAGGGTAGTTTCAATAAAACTTAAATTCACAAAATTGACAAAAAAAAAATTAAGAAACAAAAAAGTTTGAACAATTGGTTAAATAAATAAAAACCTTCAAAAATCATCGAACCACTATCTAATTTGACAATGAATAAGCTATTTAACTGGTTTTATTTCGAAAGGTTAAAAAAACACATAATCTCTGACAACCTGTGGTTTAATATCGTCACTGCTGTAAAACACATAATCACTTTGTAATCATAATTACAATTGAGACGGTTTTTAAATAAGTATTTATATCAATCTAGTTTGGTGTTTAGTATTAAGTAATCTGAATCTAGTCTAGACTCCGATGAAAAAAAACTCTTCATTATGTAATGTTTTCTCATTTAATATTGGGTATTTTCATGTTTTCAACTAATTTTGTCTTTGAAATAACTTTTTTTAGCTATAACCATGATTTTTTTAGTTCAAGTTTTTTTTAAAACGTAAAATTCATTGCAAAAAGTATTCATGTACAAGCCTTGAATGTAATATAAACATAATTTCAAATACAAATTCACAAAAATAGCCTAATAACTTCTCCTTGATCCTTAATGGACACCTCTCACTTAAAACCATTTTTGAGGAGTAGTTCACAATGGGTACGGGAACGAAGGTACAGACTCTTTATAAGTTAATTAAACGAACATGTTTGTTTTGGCATTTTTAAGTAAAACGAGTATGTGTTCAGAATTTTAAGATATATAATTTTTTAGCTAATTTATTATGTGAATTTTAAACGTACTTAAGAAAAAATTTTGTAGCTAGTCATTTAGATATATTGATGATTTTCTTATAAAGAAAATAAATAAACAATTAATATAGTCTTATTTCAAATTCCAAAAAAAATAATGAAAATCTATTTTCTGATTGTCACATGCATAATTACTAATAAATAGAGCAATGGATTTTAACTTAAAACATAGAATGTTAGCTTAAGTAACGCTAGTTGAATGTTACTGAATTTCATATTATTTTATGACATAAAAATGGATTATCTAAGAAGTCATTGGAAATCTGTTGTTGGATACGATAATATTTGTGTAGATAATTGGATTAACATGAAAAAAGTAGCCAAGTGGAACATCAAGAAGCATGATGGTGAATCTTACCTATACGGTTTACACACGCGACAATCGCGTCTAGAGATGAAACGCACTATTCTTTGTTTTATACATTTAGTGTTTGCTTTTCTTGTAGAGACGTTTATATACATTATCACAGGGACAACATCTAAATATTATTAATATTGGTGGTTTTGAGAACTAATAAAATAAATTTAGTTAAGGACCTAATTTTGGCTGCCAAATCAGGAAGTTCAAGAGTGCTCAAAGACAACATAAACTATGTCACACGTGGCGGACACCTAAACGCTCATTTTTACTGGTACGAAGAACAAAAAGAGCGAACATGGGTTGTGTACCTCAATGGACCGTCGATATGTAACGATTCGGAATGGGAACTATAACTTTCGCAATCATTTTTTTTTGTCCTGGCATGGATTAATCTTCCGCCTATTTTTACTTTAATAAATATGGTTTTAGCCAAAAAAAAATAAAAAATGTTGCAAACGATAGTTTCTTTCACCTCAGAGACCGTAGATAGTTGAATTGTCATGTCGTTAGATAGCTGATGACAAAATCCACCCTTTCTAAATAGTTAGAACCATTGTAGCATTATGTGAGGATAAAATTGGAATAACTCTTTTTTTTGGTCAAAAAATTGGACTAATTAACTTCTATCATGATATATATACAAATATAATGATTGATGGCAAATTTTCTATTATGCATAAAAAAATATTCCTTCTCTAAATGCATCATCGTGCTCAATCTTGGATTCCGTATGACTAAAATTTCCCTCTTGTAGTCTTGTAGCCAGTTAAACTAACTTTAATGGAGTGCTGATCATGGTAAATATTACCATGCGAACTTTCGAATAGATCACAAATCATAAACACATACATTGCTATACGTATATTTGTGCGCTATTTTCCAGTCCTGGTAGAATACTGGAAAATTAGATGATTGTATAAATATATTGATGAAAGATAACAATCAAATTTATTTATTGAATATATATTATAGGCCGCTTAATCGGTATTTATTTAAATGGTTCGCTAGAAAGCTAATAGCCGATCAATGGTTTATTTTATTGGTCATGCCAAAAGAACAAATCACTAATACGTTTAGCTCATTTATTTATTATTTATTTGGTTTAAAGGAAAAAGAAAGCTCACTTATATGATTACGATAATAATATAAACCAAGGTTTGGCATAAAAGTTTGACACAAATACAATACACGCCAAGAGTGCATACCACATAAAATTATCGAATATTTTCCGTTTTTAAAAAACTTTAGAAATATCTGAGACCATCAATATGCGATGTTCTTCTCTCTTTCTCTGATACCACGAAAACGACGACGTCCTCAGCATGTAAACCTTGTATTCTTACACATATAACCCTCTCTCTATATATAGTGTGTACCATTGGCCTCGTTGTTAAACTCATATCGTAGAAAACTCAATTAGAGCTATCAAGAGTTGAAGATCTCCTCTTGTTTCCTTGTTCATTTTCTTTGCTAATCCCACTGAAAAGTAGAAGGATACTCGAGAGCTCATTCACAAAACAACCAAAATGGCTCTAAACGTATTGGCATTTACATTCGGAATCATGGGTAAGTATCTAATTAAGCTTTCATAAACAAACATCAAATTTATACAAAAATATATATACTATGTATACTCTCAATCTTAAAACAACTATATGTCAATATTAACCACGTTATCTACACTATATGTATTTCTTGTAGGCAACATCATATCGTTCATCGTTTTCTTGGCACCAGTGTAAGCATCATCAATCCAGACACTCTCTTTCGTTTGTTTTATACTTAACATATAATAATAAAAAATGTTTATGATATTATTTTTCATGTACGTGTAGGCCAACTTTTTTTAGAATCTACAAGAAAAAATCGATAGAAGGATTTCAATCACTTCCCTATGTATCAGCGCTCTTTAGCGCGATGCTATGGATTTACTACGCTATGCAGAAAGATGGATCAGGCTTCCTTCTGATTACCATAAACGCCGTGGGGTGCTTCATTGAAACCATCTACATCGTCCTCTTCATCACTTATGCTAACAAGAAGGCTAGAGTACGCTTAGACCATATCATTTCTTTTGGTATATTAAAATATGCACTTAGTGAAATGAATTGGTTTTTAGCTAATAATATCAAGCAACGCTGCAGGTATCAACTTTAAAGGTTCTTGGGCTCTTGAATTTCTTGGGTTTCGCCGCTATTGTTCTTGTCTGCGAGCTCTTGACCAAAGCATCGAACCGTGAGAAAGTCCTTGGAGGGATTTGCGTCGGATTTTCAGTTTGTGTTTTCGCAGCTCCTTTAAGTATCATGGTACGTACGTACTTATGGCAAGTATAAAGGGACGTTTGAATATCTAAACGAGCCATGCTAATTCCGATGAGGAATATAATACACTCTAAAAAAAAACAATATCTCTAAGCTTTTTGACTTTCTGTTTCTGGAAATAGCAAACTCTTTATGTTTACGTATATTATATAGTTTAACTAACATGTGAAAAGTAAAAAATATTGATGATGCAGAGAGTGGTGATACGAACAAAGAGTGTGGAGTTTATGCCCTTTTCTCTATCATTGTTTCTTACACTCAGCGCCATTACGTGGCTTTTCTACGGTCTTGCTATTAAAGACTTCTACGTTGCGGTGAGTTTTTTTTTTCTTTTTTTCATTACTAATTACATTGCATTTTAAATCTTTTATAAGCCTATATATAATACTGGACAGCTCAACATAGTATCATATATTTTTATGGGTGGTTCAAGGGAAAAGAGTTTCCACCACCTTTTGTCTCTTTTTCCCCAATTCCTTCTATATAAAGAAGCCGAATATATTATTTGAGCCGTACGCTACTTTTGCTATAGGCTTCTACAATCATAATTTATATGATTGCGTCAAAGAAACCGAGATTGTACAACTAAAATATTTATCTTTTTATCTGTCGGCGATTAATGGGATTACTGTTCCCAAAAATGATTAATGGCATTACTGATATGCATGATTACTTTCTTGATTGAAGCTTCCAAATATATTGGGTGCGTTTCTCGGAGCAGTTCAAATGATTCTCTACGTCATATTCAAGTACTACAAAGGCCCAAAGGCTGATGACACAGAGAAACCCAAAACGGTGTCGGATCACTCCATCGACATGGTCAAGCTTGCGTCCACTCCAGCAGCTTCCGGTGATTTGGCGGTTAATCCTCAAACTCATGGTGGTGATTTAGAGGGTCAGATGGAAAAGAACCAAATCCAAACTTAAGGAGTTTTTTATATTACGTTCGAATTAGTGATTTTATCAATGTTGTACTGTTGAGTCGTGTTTCTCTAGCTTGTACTACGACGTCGTCTTCCTTTCTTTCTTTTTTTTTTCACTCTCGTCATTTTGTTTCGAAATATCTCGAAATTGTACTATCCTTCAAAATTTATGTACGTAATTACGTATGTTTGAATTCTAGAAAATAGTTTTGATTGTTCTGTTCTTATAAATACTTAGGTTCTCCTAATTTGGCTGACTAGAAATGAAATGAAAACTCAAAGTAATGAATTACCTGAACATTCACCACTCACAAGCGAGTTCTAAAAAAACATCCATTTTGATGTACTAATTACATTTAAGTATATAACCTCTCAACATGTCCTCTCTTTTTTATAATTAAGGTCACCATGTCGAATCGACTAGTACAACAATTAAAAGTCATGCACGTAACTTTCTTTGGCCAATTGGAACAAGAAAATGAAAATCTGATGCAATGAACTAACTTGATCTGAAGCGAGTGACACCAAACAAAAAAAATTGTTTTGTGTCATTGTGTGCTTTCGCTAGTAGTTTCTTTATTGAGTATTTACCTAAGCATGTCGAATATTTGTATCAAAGGGGTGGGAAAAAAAAAAATGTTTTTGACAAGAAATTCATGCGCGTAATTAACTACTTAAGACTTTGGGCTTTATGATTCTTCTAAGAAAAAGTTATCGTTACTGCCCAATCACTCTTCTAACAGCCCAAACCACATATTTACTGTATTGGTTTACCTAGAAAAATTTTCACCCTCAACTCAAATCGTCAATATTCTAATTTATTTTTTCCACTGCTAATTAACTAGGGCTTCTTGGATGATGTGTCTCATGAAAGCCAAAAAGGTGGGATCATCTTCTTGGTCTAGAGATGCAATGAATATCAACACTCTTCCAGATGAAATACTTGCGCAGATCTTGTCTTTTCTTCCAACAAAACGAGCTGTTTCTACATGCATCCTCTCCAAAAGGTGGAGGAATCTGTTTCCATTGATGAATCTTCTCTTTGCTTCTCAAAATCATTTATACTTTGACGACTCGGAATTACTGCATCCCGAGAATCATTACTTAGACGACTCGGTTATAATGACGAAGTATACACGCTTAGGAGAGGGGCGGGAATTATATTTAGTGTGTTATTGTAAAGGTGGAAAGCGTAAAGTTATTAGCGAGAAGAACGATGTGCACCGAGGATTCGGGGATTTCGTGGATAAAGCACTTTCCGGTCGCATGACCATAAAGAAGCTCACGCTAAAACTTCTTTCCGGTAGTATCTCTGTCGCTCTTATCAACAAATGGACACGCATTGCCCTGGACCGAGGTCTCGTGGATCTTGATCTGCGTATAAGAACGGGATCGTTTAAAGAGAAAGCACATCATTCTTCTAATGCTGTCTTCACAAGCAAGACGCTGGTTAAGCTAACATTAGGAATAGAGGTTCATCGTATGCGAGTACGTTTACCAAAAGTGTTCCTTCCTGTGCTAAAGAGTCTCTTCCTCCATGGAATTCTGTTTAGATGCCATGACTTGTGCTTTAAGTTGCTTCCTGGTTGTCCAACACTTGAGGAACTATCCTTAGAATATTACCCACAGAGGCTTCGAATGTTTGTACAACATGTGACAGAGTTAAGTATATCCAACAATACCCTCAAGAGACTCACACTTCACTACAATAGCTGTTGTGACATCTCTCCAGTCATGAAGTTCAACACACCGAGTCTTGTTTACCTCGACTTCTCTGGTCTTGCCTTGCATTATAAGTCACTTGCCTGTTTCTTGGATTCCCTTGTCGAAGCCAAACTAGATGTTGATATGCCACGGTATTACATTCATCTCAGTCGTCCATCTATGATCATTAATTGGATGAGCAACGTCAAGAACCTTTCCCTTTCTTCTACTTCTGTTAAGCTTATCCACTCAAGCGGTACGGAATTAATTCCTTACTTTGTAAACCTTGTTAAGCTTTCTTTAGAGAGTAATACAACACAAGGTTGGCAAGTGCTTCCGAGTCTGCTCAACAAATCTCCAAAACTTGAAACTTTGGTCCTCAAGGGCTTGCACTGTGTAAGAAATGAGGGAGTCCACATTGATCCAAGCCAAGTGAAAGTGTTGGAGATGTATGGTTTTAGAGGAAGTGGTGGAGAATTTAGTCAATCCAAGCGCTTTTTACGTCAAATGCAGTCTCTTCAAGTGATGAAAGTGGAAATTGATGCTGATTATAACAAAAGACTGCAACTCATCACTGATCTTTTTGCTCTTTCATCTAAATGCCAAATCCAGTTATTTTGAGATTCACAACCTCTCCTAGTACTTTATTTTGCGTTTCGGTTTAATATTTGATTCGGGTGTTATGGATTAAATTTTTTTGTCTTAAGGAATTTGTTTGGTTTGAGTTAACTTTCACGTGAACTCATGAGAGACCGGAGTAAGGCAACTCAAATCGTCAAACGCTTACAAGGAAGGACCTTACGCAAAGGAGACCAAATTTGACTTGATGTGGTGTTATTCGATTTGACCAATTGAGTGAGGTTTTCAAAAATATTTTGTGTATATGAATTTGGAATAAAACAATGTATGTGAATTTGGAATGTTTTGATGGAATTTAATGAATTCATTACAATGTATGTAAGTAGAATTTTTTTTTTTATATAACTTTATTTGCATTTGCGTGTAATGTATATTGGGATTATAAGTTTATCTCATTGTTTTATTTTTCCAAATCATCTAGATTCCACCAAAATGATAAAACTTTTAGAATCTATTACAAGTAAAATTGTATTTTGAATTAAGTCAAAGAAATACTTATCCAATAACAATGGATTATACTTTCAAATACATAATAGACTGTATTCATATACTTAAATTGAGAGCTAGGAACAGAGAGAGGGACAAGTTTTGCCTTATAGAAGAAAAATAATCAGAGCCGTGTCGTTGAGGATACGTTACTCTAGAAGCTTTAGTGTCAACAATAATAATACTTAAATGCAAAGAGAGCAGAGGAATTCAGATAAGGGACCAAAATGACTTGTCTCAATGAAACGTTACTCTTGTCTTGTCTTCTCGCTTTCCTCGTCTTCTTTCCAACCTTCACGTTTTCCACCTTATTATTGTTTCAGGTGAGTATACACAAACACTATACATACACTATACACTCTCTAATACAGTTTTCTGTTTCGCCGATTCGAGAATTGGGTTAGTGAAAAAACATCATCTTTGACGACAGGGTTTCAAATGGGAATCATGGAAGCAAGAAGGAGGATTCTACAATTCTCTACAAAACTCCATCGACGACATTAGCAACTCTGGAATCACTCATATCTGGCTTCCTCCTCCTTCTCAATCCGTTTCTCCTGAAGGGTACTTACCGGGAAAGCTCTACGATTTGAACAGCTCCAAATACGGTTCAGAGACGGAATTGAAGTCACTAATCGCAGCACTGAATCAAAGAGGAATAAAATCCGTGGCTGATATTGTGATTAACCACAGAACAGGTGAGAGGAAAGACGATCACTGTGGGTATTGTTATTTCGAAGGTGGGACTAGCGATGGTCGTCTAGACTGGGACCCTTCCTTCGTCTGTCGCGACGATCCTAAATTTCCCGGCACCGGAAACTCCGACACCGGCAAAGATTTCGATGGTGCGCCAGACATCGACCACCTTAACCCAAGGGTTCAAAAGGAGCTGTCGGAATGGATGAACTGGCTCAAATCTGAAATCGGATTCAGTGGTTGGAGATTCGATTTCGTTCGAGGTTATGCTCCTTCCATCACCAAATCATACGTAAAGGTCAGCCTTTTTTAATAAAGCTTTGATTTTTCATTTTTCTTTCTCTGCGATTGATTGAGTTTGGGTTTTGTGGGTACGCAGAATACTTCGCCGGAATTTGCGGTTGGTGAGAAATGGGACGATATGAAGTACGGAGGAGACGGCAAACCGGAGTATGATCAGGACGAGCATCGGTCGGCTCTCAGACACTGGATCGAGGAAGCAGGTGGTGGTGGTGGTGTCTTGACAGCTTTTGATTTCACGACCAAAGGGATCTTACAGTCTGCGGTCGGAGGTGAGCTTTGGAGACTAAAGGACTCGCAGGGAAAGCCGCCTGGTCTTATCGGAATCATGCCCGGAAATGCAGTCACTTTCGTAGATAACCACGATACCATCAGACCAAACACGTGGGCTTTTCCTTCCGATAAAGTCTTGCTTGGATACGTTTATATTCTTACTCACCCAGGCACTCCTTGCATCGTAAGTAGACTGGTCTAATCTGGCTGTAGAATCGGTTCGGTTTTAGACATTGACTTTTTAGATCCAATTCGGCTTGGTATATATAGAACTATAGTTCTCCAATATGCATGAGGCGATCTTGATGAAGTGATGTTTTTATTGTCGCAGTTTTATAGTCATTACATGGAATGGGGTCTAAAAGATAGTATCACGAAGTTGGTTGCAATCAGGAAGAGAAATGGCATTGGTAGCACAAGCTCTGTTACGATCAAAGCGGCCGAGTCGGATCTCTACTTGGCTGTGATTGATGACAAGGTTATCATGAAGATTGGGCCCAAGATGGATTTGGGAACTCTCGTTCCTTCCAACTATGCTCTAGCTTATTCAGGTCTTGATTGTGCTGTATGGGAGAAACAGTTACGCAATTACTCAATTTCTCTATAAGTAAAAAAAAAAGTAACCGAATGTATCTATTTCCGTATCTTGGTTATATGTTAAGATGTATAATGAAATAAATATTATAAATAAATTACTAGAGTTTTCTATTCTAATGATTTGCAATAATGCTAATGAATTAGGGCTCGAGTTAGTTTGAGTTTTGGGTGTGGGGCATGTCGGTAGAGGTGATAAGTAAGTAGTCAGTTGACAAAATAAAGAAAACAACACTTAACACTTTAGATATTACAAGAAAAATATCTTTTGGTAGAAGACCAAAATATCTTTCAACCTAGAATAGTAAAATATGTAATTTGTCCCTACGAGAGGTACATAATTATCATTGTCTAACAAAACAATACCGCCAAAACTGAAATCTATTCTACAAGAAAATTTTGGTGGGAACAGTTAAAATTGAGTAAATTCCAAAATTCGACAGAAACGTCGCCGTTTCGTTACTATATATAAAAAGTAGAAGACGTCGGCTTGATGAGAAGTAGAAAAGACGACGAAAAAGAAAAAGGAAAAGAAAAAAAAAAAAGGGAGGTGAAAAACCGTTCGGCTTTGAGAAGTTCCCAAAGGAAAAGTTTGGATATTTGGTGGACTCTTGAGAGCTTTCGTCAAAAGCTTTTCCTTCCTTCCTTCCTTCTTCCTCTTTTTCTTCCCACACCTCATCAAAGATCACAAGGTGAAATCGAGCAAGAGCTACTATTATTCTGTATTGATCTCTCCTGATTCTCGTTTATATATCTCCTTTTTTTTTTGTTTCTACCCTATTTCGAAGCGAGCTCTGATTCTACTTTTTCTTTTGTGTTTGCAGATTAGAACTATTTCAGATCTGAAAAGAGCTGTGTTTAAGGCTGGTTTCTGAGAGTCCGGGATTGGTGATCGGAGCTGGATTTTGGTGGTATCGGAGGTCTGAGATAAGTCAACGGATATGCCGGAGGAGGAGTCGATAGATATCAAATTCAGGCTATACGATGGCTCCGATATCGGACCGTTTCGGTATTCAGCGGCGTCCACGGTTGATTTTTTGAAGCAGAGGGTCGTCTCTGATTGGCCCAAAGGTTAGTCACGATTTTGCAAGTCTCGCTATTCCGTGATCGGTGTCCCTTTTTCCTCAATTCTGCTCCTTGTCTTTAGAAATTTCTAGTTTTTTCACGAAATTCGTGTTTACTGTCGGTAGAAAGATGCGCGATTTAGAGCTGTAGATGGTTTTTAGTCTTGGATGATTTAGTCCACTTGAAGTTATGATTGAGAAAAAGAAAACGGAAGTCTGTGTGAATTATGGTAATTCAGAGCATCAGTTTTGTGAAATTTTAGCTTTGTTTGATTGTGCTTTCTTTTTTAGGCAAAACGGTTGTGCCAAAAGGGATAAACGAAGTCAAGCTGATCAGCTCGGGTAAGATCTTGGAGAACAGCAAAACTGTTGGCCAGTGTAAGACACCGTTTGGAGATATTGCAGGTGGTGTCATTGTGATGCATGTTGTTGTACAGCCATCTCTAGCAAAAACCAAAACAGGTAAAATGTTTTTTTTTGTCTCTTCTCCTCTCTTGCTTATCAGAAATTTTTTTACTTTTCATAGAGATCTTTGTTTACTTGGAGCTTCCCACATATTAAGCTTCTTCCAATATTTCATCAGTCTTGTGTTATTTATCTTGTCACATGTATGGCTTATTATTTTCGTTTTCTGGCACAAATCTTACTTTTCATAATGTCATCTGCCGCTAGTGATACATAAGGCTGATATTAAGTGTTCATCCGCTAACACGTGGTACATCAGCAAGTTGGTCAGTGTGACTAGGATTGGTATAACTAGTAAATGTATCAGATGGTTAGTGGTCTTCAGTATACTTGGTCTGGGAGAGTAGGGTATGGCCATAGAATTCATCCCTAAGTTTCTGGTTTGTTATTTTTGTTTCGATACATAAGTGAGAAATAAAGCAAATTCAGCGTCAAACCTAACAAATGCATGCTATGAGGGAGGGAATAGCCTTGGATTCAGTGTTGGTCGTCATGATCAGCCACTAGTATGAACTTTGTTTCACTCAAACCTTCTATAGAATTGCTCTCGCTTTTAAATCTTCGTTGTTAAGCTAAACCCATCCAAAATGTTTGTCAACCATAAACTTTTGTATCCATGATTTGCACAAAATTGATCAAATGATTGAAACTGAGTCTGTGATTTCTAGGACAGTGTTAAGGAATTCTAACAGTTGAATACCGGTTTGATTGAACAGAGAAGAAGGTCGATAAAGCACCCAAGGCGGTTATATGCACATGCACCATTTTGTGAAGGGAGCAAGACATGTATCATACAGACCATATCAATTCTTCAGGTACAGAAGAAAACAAAGACAAAAAGAATGGTAAAGGCAAAGTAAAGCTTCCCTTTTAAGCTGTGGAGTATCATAACCTCGAAATGCAAAGCTTTGAATGTGTAGAAAATGATTAGATTCTTTTGAAGTACATCATATGTTGTCCCTTGTTTGTTTTTTTTTTTGTTAACACTATCTGGTATATCATTCGCGTCCCAACGTCTTGTAATAAACAGAAGTTGTATAGGTTACTAGTAGCTCTAAAGGATTACGTGTGATGAAGATAATTTATGTATCTATGAAAGAAGAAAAAAATTGTGCCTTTATTCTCATCCATTCTTCCTTTCACACCATTATATTTTGTTTTTACTGTTTAGTGCGTCCGAGGAAAAGAATTTTGTAACATTGGAGAAATACCCGCCAAGAACCATATAACCGCAAGGTTAAAAAAAAAAGGAAGAACCATACAACCGCTATTTATAATAATCCTCGTTTAAAATTGTTCGTGAATGATTACAACTTTTAATTTCTCATTCATAGGTGAACTCTCTTCATCATACTGCCACATCAGCATCTGAACGGAAGACACCTGTTCTTTCAACTAATTAATAAATTATAAATTTTAAAATAAAAAATTAAAAACTAATTAATACTACTACTTCTAACTTAACTATTATATTTAATGTTTATTTCATATGTATTTATGTTCATAACTATTAAATTACATTAATATTAAGGCTTTTCACATTCCTAACAAAAATATATAAACAACATTTCTAACTTTTTACATTTCTAACTTTTTGGTATTCGTCTAAAACTTTTTAATAATTTTTTATACTAACTTGATACTTTTCTTCCGGCTTATCCTCATCATAAACGTTTTTTTCGAAGTTTGTTGTATGAAAAATGTAAAGATGTAGTGTTATCTTCATTCAAAGATTTGGCGGTTTTTATGAGTCAAATATGATATTATTATAGCTGCATTTTATTGTGAAACATAAAGTATGAGTTGGTTCTTGCAGAATCAAGGCAATTGTACATGTCATAAATTTGAGAACATTAAAAATTGGAGGTAATTATATGTTTTCAATCAATTCAACCAAAAAAATATGACTTTTATCTACGTCTTTTTTACTTATAACATGTTTATGATTTCTAGAATAGTAGAATAATTTTCTTAATTACCATATTTCAAATCCTTAAAAAAGTTATTTGTTTTACAAAGAATTTATTTTTAAAAAACCTAAGTAAAATATTATATATATATATATCAACACAAATATATTTTTTAAAATATTATGTGAAACAAAACCTGTGCGTATGCGCGGGTACAAGTCTAGTATGTATAAAGTTCGTTGACAAAAAATATAGTAATATATGCATCAACTTTGTATAACTTTTGTTTTGCTAATGACCAAAGTAAACTGATAGCTTTCATTAAATTGATCCAAAGGCTAACTAAGCCTACGCGAGCCAAGCAATTATAACCATAACTTCTTGTTTAGCCTTTGGATTTGGAATTTGTTGTTTTATTAATAGTGGTTTGGATTAAATTTCATCATACAAGAGATCTTATAAAGATAAAAATACAAAGACAATTCATAACATTATAATGATTGCTACCACGTTTTTCAATACTGATTAGTATTCCATGGGAAACATGTTTCTTTACCCGTTAATCTACATGGGCCACTAGGTCTTATACTCCAAACACACGGATGACCTTCACATGTTTTTAAATCTCTGGCCACCACAAAAATATCAAACCATTTAGACTGATTTCCCCATTGAAAATGACAAAAAAACAGAGTCGTGCCCCAAAAGTTAAGAGATTCTCTGAATCCATAGTGTTGATGAAAGGTTAAAGATTGTGATCCGAGATCTTTGTTCTTCGATTTGCAGTGTAGTCCCAGTTGAACGTTTGGACCAATATCATTGATGATGTCCACGGATATATGCTCACAAAGACCACCAAAGAGCAAACACATGAATATAACACTAAATATCATGTGAAATGACGATGAGCCACACATTATGATTTATGAATACCTTATAGTTTAAGTCTATTACATCTAAAGTTAAGTCTTCACTATCCCTGTATTTATACTATTAGTTTTTCTAGGAGTCATTTAAGATAGCCAATGCGGGCAAAACGTTACTTATGGGTTTTTTTCCACCTATACTTTAGGTTTGACTTTGCTATTTTATATTTTTTCTTTTCCTTGACTTATTTTATTTGGAAATATTTCCAACTATAATATGTATTCAAATCTAAATTAACAAAGACACATATAAACCAAGTTGCCTTTTATCATCGCATTAAATTGCAAATTTCAATCAGATATCATGTATGCCTTAGTTAGAGAGAAAGATATATATTACATGATTTGCGTTTTTGTTAGTATCTTTGACCGATGATTTTGGTAATTAAAAACCACATTCAAGATTTTGTATATATCTTTTTGCATTTCTAATATTACTTTTCCTGCTTATTTGATTTGATATTTATTTATTATCAAAATAATTTTGAGGGGGCTACAAGAGGAAAGTCTAAAACAAAAGTTTCGAAGCCCATAATGTATGTTCACCGACATGGGCCATAATGTCTGTATTTGCCAAATTCGTTCTTGATTATGGGCTGTCTCCGAAAATCTTGGATACTGAGCGACTGTCTGCCATTCTAACAACTCTTGCTCTTATATTTGACATTTGAGAGGTAAAACTCAAATTTTCTTTGCATCCTTATTGTTTTTCTCTTATGTGGTGATCTTAAAAAATAGTTTGAAAAAAAGACTACAGGCAGACAAGACTTGCTATGACTGCCAAAATCTTTGCTCAGATAGTTATCATGAGCATTATTGAGTAAGTCACTGATGCTTTGTACAAATCATCACATTCATTAATTACATTTTCATTTTCCTAATCAATGTTTATATATATGTACAGACCACTGTTGGAGCAAAATTTGTACTATGCAGGGATGCAGCTAACCACACCAACATTCCCTTATGGGATGTCCAACCTACTCCCAGTTATAACCTTTATCAAGGCCTGTGTATTCAAGTAAATCTATAGTGTCGGGATAATGAAATGAATATGTTTCATACATTTGTTTTTTTGTTGTTTGTGTGTATAATTAGAATTGTCTGTCTGTATTCTCCGTTTTGCAGATTTGAGAAAGTGGCTAGTCACACTAACCAGGGCAAAGCAAAGATGCTCGGAACGTGTGTGCCAGTTGTAGAAAAAAAAAATATATATATATATATATATTAGATATAATTTAACTATCTAAATGTCTCTGAACATAATAAATAGTTTTTTTTCTCTTAGTTTTTCTTTAAAATTTGTTGATATTTTGCATATATTATGCTTTTAAACTTTAACAAAAAAATATTTTAACATAATACATACATTAATATTAGAATTTTGTATACTGTTTTTAAAATTTTCAAAATAAATTAACTACATTTACTTGACGATATTAAAATATAAATATATGCCAAAAAACTAATATGATAAATATATATATATATATATTTTTAAGAATTTGGAAGACTCCGTCTCCGTTGTTGTCAAGGCCAACTGAATCAATAAGGGGGGTTATTGGGAGTTAGATTTATGAAGATTTTAGTTGATTTTAAAAATATGAGATTTGTCAAATTTTTAAGAGTTTTGTTGGATTTGTAAAATTGAGAGAGAGTTCTATGGATTTAAACAATCTATTAAAAAATTTTTAATATGACAGATTTTGAGAATCCAAGGGATATAAGTAGTATTTTGAGAATCATGATTTATGAATTAAATTATAAAGAATCATTATGCCAATAACACTAGATTATAACAGAATCATAGAATCATTTAAATGCAGACTTTTTGAATAACAATGGATTTTGATTAGATTATAAAAATCATCATATCAATAACAACTGATTTTTATAATCTCTAAATGAATAACAGAGGAATCTATTAAGAATGTAAAAATCCACAAACCAGTAACTATAGAATCTTAAACTCTAAAAATCTTTATAAATCAACTCTCTAATAACACCCCCTAAATTTGTTGCCCTCAATGGCTACTATGATGTATACGGCTGTTATGATAAAAATAGGCTTCACTATACTGTCTTCACCGCACACACCAAAATTCGTTCTTTCTAACCTTATACAATGTTTAAGCCCACTATATTAATTTAAAACCCACTACAATGCCATAACATTTTGTTTCAAAACATTCTAAATATTTTGCTACTACGGTACTTTCATTAGGTGTTAATTTACGGTTTCGAACTTTGATGCGTCCAAAGAAAGGAGCGAGAAACTGTTTAAGTCATACCGTGAGGATAATTTGTAATGAGCAAGATGGGCTTAAAACCCGAACCAGGTTCGAACTCGAGCTTGCGTCATATATAGGTTCTTTCCCTAAGTGGTTTAATCAACTTGGCCCAATAGACTTGTTCTAGGGGCTATCCTAAATCCTGAGGATTTTGACTTTTTCTGACTACTAGTAGCCATAGGTTATAAGTATTGAGTAGAGCTTTTGTAGAGGAAAAAAAGAGTGATATATTCTTCTTATCTATCACTGTTGCTCCAAACGATTTACATCCCAAGAGAACAAAATAACCCAAAAGAGGATGATTAATCTCATATTTTCCGTATCTTAATTTTCCCTTGTTTCTACTATCTTATAATATCCTATAAAAGCTAAAAGGAAAAGAAAAAAAAAAGTTCTATCCTTTAAGAACAGGTGACGAAGGAGACAGAGAGAGGATAAGGGAAAGTGTTGGCGTATTGGAAAGAGAGTGTGGAGCCATAAGGCAAAGGCTTGCCGTTGTTGACGAGACAGTCGTCGTAGTGAATACGCTTGAAGAGTCTCGGGTTTATCAACTTAGCCGAGCTGAACCAACCGCAGCTGATGTGGATCCTCGATATCTTGCATCCAGACATACACTGGTTCGTTATCTCCACCCTGTAACCCGGTATTCCGTTCGGCATTGGTTCGGTTGCTACTTGGTTCACCACTATGTCTGACCCTTTGCACTTCTCTCCGATCCTCTCTGGCTCTGCCCTCGTGTCTGCCTTTTTTCCTTTTTTAAGAAAGAAAAGAAAACAGAGGAATTTGAGTTACAATGTTACATACACGGCTAAGAATATGACGATGTAATGTTGAAAAACTATTGAAAACTTTCTAATTTCAGAAATGATAATGACTCCATTAATTACGCATTGACATTCGAAAATTCAAACTCTAGAAAAATATATGTAAATATTGGAGTAGAAAATGGAAAGAACTGTTCATTTGACAGCTGGATGAAGTAGGAAGCTATTTTTGCCACTGTTTAAACCCATTACTCTACAGATTTCATGCCATCTCCAGTCAACAGTCAACAAGTAATACATTATCATCAACCAATTTTCCCGGAAAACAACTCAACATTTCTTATTTTTCTTACTTAGTAACAAATTCAAACATATAAGAATATTCAACACAAATCCGTTATTTGAAGAGACTCTCTAAAGATAATGTGTATTTTGTTTTTATTCTTAGACAAGTCATGAGGCTCTTAAAATTCTTGAAGGGCCCACCAAAAAGTATACCGAAGGAAGAAAGAAAACAAAAGGAGGCAAGAAAACACAGACGTGCAAAAGACTGACGAACGCTGTGAAAAAACAAATAAGGACGACGAACGAACAAACGCATCAGAAAGTTGTGTTTGCAGAGAGTTTCTGAGCACCAAACAAAGCAAATAACAAATCCCCATTTCACGAGGAACTTTTACGCAATTTGGGAAAAACCAACACAAAGCACCAATCACTGATTTGGTAAAATCAAAAATACCTTTACCAGGAGAGAGACGAAGCATTTTCCGATGCGTATAGGTCGTCGATAACGTCGTCGTTTTGGTCAAATCCGGATCATCCCTAAGCTCCACGCCTGAGATTTCAACCATTAATACCCTCAGCAACATAAAAGACACTGTTTCGAAAACAAACTGAATCTACATTTGATTTATGAATCTGTACCGCCGGAGGCCACGACGGAGACGGAAGCCATGCCGCAAAGCAAGTATGAGAGAATCGCCGCCGATAACAGAAGTCGCCGCCGGTTCATGTGCACAAACGTCGGGAATGTATATTTGATGGTGAAGCTGACTACTCGGATTCTCTGTTTCTCTGCGTCGACGTGACTAATACCGGAAAATCTGTAAAAATCAGAGGAAAGAGAACGAACAACTTTTTTCAGTATCTTATCACACGACTTGTATCATGTTATCATCCATCATATCAATGAACAGTAAATTAGTGGAAAATCGCGGCTCCTATACTACTATCCGCTTTTTCTCTGATTTGAAATACGAGAATCTGTTGCAGAAATTTGAAAATCCTTTGACCAGAAACAAAAATCTAACGCGGAAAAGAGAGACGAGAGACAGAGAGAGAAGCTTAAACCATAAAATTGGAGAAAACCATGAGGAGATGCATTATCGCATAAACAGTTTCTGGAAAACTTCCTCGTAGCAACACGAAAATAGCTCAAATAGCAGAAGAAATTGAATACGCAAATCAAATCAAGGAACGAGACTAATCGATTCAGCTCCAGGCAAATCACATCCAAAAACGACTAAAATGAAAGAAAAAAGGTAAAAGTGAGAAACCGAGATCGATTTTCCTGGAAAAAATCTGTGACGGGAATCAAACAGAAAGCAGGAGCGTATAAAGAAGGTGAAGCAAAGCAAACAAACAAACAAAAGGTAAGATCAGAGGATAGAGAAAAAAATAAGCAAAAAAAATCTTAGAATACATATCTCTACAGATTGTCGTGTACGCCCGTACAAAATTACAGAGAGTTACTCACCTTTTTATCTTTCGTCGACTTTCTTCTGCGAGTGGGTGTCGCCGAGGTAGAAGAAGACGAAGAGATAGAGAGAAAGAGTCTCTCTGAGAGAAAAGAGAATGTGAGAGGGTTCTCGTCTGTGTTACATTACACACCACAGACGCATTTATAGTCCAACATTCTCGACTGTGACTTTTTTATATTTTCTTTATAATTTCTCCATAGCTTTAGTAACTACTACAATGAATATTTTTTGTAACAATATTAGATCAATGTTTCTTTTACTCGAATGTTGAATAACAATTGCGATAAATTTATATATACTTGTTACAATATAGTACTTCCACTTGTCCACAACTCAATTGACACATTAACTCTTGTATTCTTTTCATTAATTTGTTAAATTGATAGACTAACTCTTATATGGTTTAGAATTTTTTTTTTTTTTTTTGCGGTTATGTGTATTATTTAGTTTCAATATTTTTTTGCGCGAAAATATATGGACCACCACATGTAGTGTTAACAATCCTTGAAAATTGATTGAAATAATAAAAACCGTTATAAACTTTAGGAATAAATTATTGTGAGAATCCCGCTCGTGTCCAAACCAAAAATGGATTGGTACGTTTGAGGCAGTTGGTAAAATAATACTACTAGTGTAGAAAATGGCCAAGGAAAATCTCAGAATATAAAAGAATATAAAAGAATATAAGGGTAGAAATGTAATTTGAGAAAATCTTTAACTTTGGATCGATCCAGTGGGAGGTGAGAAGGGGAATGATTGGCTAATATTATTAGTATCAGTTTAAGAAGATTGGGTAATTATTAATGTGTGTAAATTGTGATATTATATTGTCACATCCTCACGTGGGGAGTATCAGAAGCACACGAGTCGGCATTTATGAAGGCGATGACGATGTTTTTGTACCAACTCTGTATCCTTGTTCCTATTGTTTTTTTAAGTCCTAGTTTTCAATTTCAAACTAAAGAAAGACAATGTGATGAATATATGATATATATCGTATAAGATTGTTTGAACTTCAAAAAAACGTGTTACGTGATACGGTTATTAATTTTTTTTTCAAATGATGAATATTGAATTGGATTGATTGTATTCCAAGAAATTAAATATTAAGTCTAAATTATTGTTTAGAATTTTATGTTGTATATACTGTCAAGTGTTGAACTCTTTTACGAATTTGGTGAAGATAAAACACTCCATCATACATTCTTTTAGAGATATTTTTGTTTTGATAGAAGATAGTTTTATCGGATTTAATTGTTTGATTAAGCTTTTTTTGTCTTCGCTGGCTGAATGAATCTTCTAGCTACCAATAATCTTTTATCAAACATAGTTGCGAAAATGGAAAATTAAGTCGTGGCCAATAAACATGCGCCAAAATCGTCATAACATCAACTAAAATAGTTCATATTTTTGTTTGTTTGGGAAAAGCCTATCAAACGGATTTGTTCAATAAATAATCAAAAACTGTGGAAAGAAAATGAAAGAAAACAAAATAAACAAAATAAAAAATACCAACTTAACTTTGATCTTATAGACCGGAAAAAAAGGAAACTTGAGAATTCGATTCTATAAACGAAAGTAAGGTTGAAACAAAAGCCATGCCAACAGACCGAAGTAATCCGAAAAAGTGAAAACAGATGAGATCCCAAAATGACAAGTTGACTCTTTTGTTTTAGCATTTCTTCGCAGTTTAAAAGAGTTTTCTTATAAAATATGAATAAATGTTGCATATTTAAAAGTTTCAAAAGAATGTGGGGTTTTCAAAGTTTTAAAGGATTTTAAGGATGTATCCTGTATTTGTATATATTGTCTGTCAATATGCGATAAATGCGCTACAAAGAAGGCATTTTTTTGGCTTTGACAGACAACACGATATGTCATTGATACAACAGAGTTTTGCAGAGCTTTGGTCTGCTCTTCTCAACCTTTCCCATGCCCTTCTCTATATTTTTTTTTGTTTTTTGTCATTTTTGTTGTTGTTGGATGATTCCATTTCTTTGGTTGACCTTATTAAAAGCAAACACGCTTCTCTCTTTTCAAAAAAATAAAATAAAAATAGTAGCTTTGAAATCTCCTGACATCAAATCAAACAAATATCAATTCTTATTCTTATATAGCAAAGGTATCAAAATAAATATAATCCAAGAACCAAGTCAACCCAAATTATTACTTATTCTGGTTGGTTACAATCGTTAATGTTACAAATATGGCAATTGGCAACTGCTAACGCTAGAGATTGGTAAGTTTGTTTAAAAAAAAAAAAAAAAAAAAATCAAAGGCCTAACACATTGAGAAATGTTACAATTTCCTACCAATTACACTAATCTACAACATGTATCCCAAACCCATGCAGGTCGAGCCACAAATCAAATAGAGATACCTTTTCATAATTAAACCTCCATATATATATATATGCAAGTTCAATGTTTTAACGTCTCCAGCTCGGGCCTTTAGATCCCTCCAGCTTTTTAATCTTATTCAACAGCTCTTCGATCATGTTAGACGCCTCCTGCAATAAAATGTTTGGTTTTATTTAAGGTGAGCATATAAAAGTGATAATCAAACGAGTTATAATGGAGAAAGGTCTGTTTAATGGATGAGGAACCTCTAGCTTATTTCTCAGAATTTCTTCCTCTCCATCACGTCGGTCTCTTTCCTCCGAGAATATCTCGATTAGACTCTCTTTCTCTTTGCTCATTTCTTCTATTGTTTCTCTTGCTAATTTAACCTATATCAACCATGGAGGAATCCATCAGGTTTGCAAGCAAACTGTAGTGAGAGAGTTAATAAGACAGAAAGTAGGAACCATACCTCAGCTTCAAGTGCCTTGCTGCGCTCTTTCTCACGTCGCAGCTCCGCTTGCAATGACTGAGAGTAACATGGAAATATGAGAGATAAAATACAATACAAAAAGTCCTCCTTTCTTTGTTGAGATTTTAGTGGAGATATTTACCAGTTCACCATCTTTCCCAGATGCTGCATGGTATACACCATCGCCCCCTTTGTGATTCGGATATGAGCTTGTGTTGAACTTGTCAGAAGCTGATGGAGGATCATTTTCTGGTGATGTGTCTACAATTGATAAAACGTTTTCAAATGCTTGTTTCCTACGACATTTCTCATTGATTCTTGCTATGGACATTTAAAACCAACAAAAGAAATTGTACCTCTGTCATCATAACCGTTTACAGACTTGTATCGCCTGGGTGCATAGCCGATTTTGTGACAATTGGTCCTCCTGATGAAATTAAAATGGAAACAATATTAGCCCTGAAAACATCCAAGTCAAGATTAAGAAAGCGGGGATTTTGTAGCAACATGAGAAAAGAATCAGGACCAATAAATCTTCTGCATTTGAACTAGACGTGACTCGAGTCTAGAGAGAACTGTTGTACGCTCAAACCCTTGCTTATCATGAGCAGGCTCAATAAAATTAGCTTCAAGAACACCTAGTAGCAGAAGAAACTGGCATTGTCATCTTCACCTAAAGTTAGCGAGTAAAATATTATACAACTTTATTACCTATGACCCCACGACCATCACTGCCTGCTGCATTCCATATCCTCCAAAATGGCTGATAAAACAAGTTAGAAAGCAATACATGAGAATATGAAGTCTATTATATCTCCTGTTAATTAAAGGCCTAGAGTTTTGGCACGCAATAACATCAGTTAAGCAGAAGGAAACCTTGATGAGACGATTTTTGTGGTAGACATTAAAGCCTTGAACATCTACATGATGATTTGCGTCCTTCACAAATCCTATAGTTACAACGGCAGCCATCTGATAACAAAAGTAACCAGCTTTAAACTATAACTCCAAGATCCTGGCTTGCAATAAATAGCACTACAAGAAGGCTGGTCTACTGAAGTTGTTAAAACATACATTAAAATCCTTGACATATGTATCGGCACCATACTGAGGTCGATATGTGATCTGCTCAGTCTGCATCATGTCATTCACTACGTTGTGGTGCTCAACATCTCTCCCTCGCAGTATGATACGAAACGAAGGTGGAATTCTTAGGTAGAGGATTGATACATAACTCTGGCAACACATGTCGAAAATATGTGAGAATGAATTTGTAGAATAGGACATGTAGCCAATTTGAACAAGATTCACAATCATATTCCTATTTAAGCTAATGGGATCTCCCCACCATCACATGAATGTAGGAAACTTTCAAGAACCATTACAGTCGTAACCAGCATGAGACTGACTAGAGAGATAATTTAGCAAAAAATAACATCCTACTTGCTGTAAGCTGAAACAATAAATGAAAGATATGGGAAGTACAAGTTTTTACCCTTAGTGAGTGCTTGAATGTTAGGAAGTGCCTAGAATTAGGAAACTGAGAAGCCATTTTAATGTTTTTCTCATCTCGATTGACGCCTCTAAGTTGGATGTCCTACAGATAAACAATATGTTATGCATAACAAAGGTGTGCATCATCTCAGACAATAATACACATACAATGAGCAAAAACACATACTTCGGGATCAGCATCAAAATCAAGCTCTAACATCCCTTGGTCATCTTCCCACAGGTTATATATGATTATACGAGTGCCACGATCGTTCATTTGTTCAAACTACAACAATTAAGCAACACAATAGTGAGAACATTTGCTCAGAGACAGTAAAAGGGTGGTAATATAAGAAAACCCTTATCAAATGCGTGATAGAGGACAAAATCCAGATCATATTGCTCAGAGAGTACTGAAATAATCATCATAATTGACTCTTTCTTTTTGCCTCTCCTTGGTACTAAAGGCTTTCATGGAAAGTTTCATTAGTACGAATAAGTGACTGAGCAACTGCAAAGGAAATTATTAACCTGACTTAGAAGATCTTCTTCACTAGAGAATGGCGACCATTGAAGTATTGTTTTCACATTCTTATCCCAATCACTTAGACAAGACCGGACTAATTTACTCCATTCAGATTCCCTTCTTTCGTAGTCAAGCTGGTCATTTAAATCACATCACAAGAGAATATAAAGATAAAATGGATACAATATTCATCAAAATTTTAAAAATAGATCTTGCGGACATGAAACATCTTCAATGGCAGCAGATATGCGTGCACAGTTAAGAAACAAACTTGGTCACAATGATGAGCCAGCAATGCTGAAAAATTTACACTATGATATACAAGCATAGGTACTGAGAGAGAAGGGAACAATCATGACTTTGCCACTGGAATTACCTAGTCATATCTCATAAATTTAGTTCAGCTTACATAAAATCTACTACCATTACAAAGAACCCTGATATCAAGTGGATATTCGTTCATTTAGAAAAATGGGGGTACATAAGACATTTAAAAAGAGAAACCAAGTGGGAGACCATGGAGTTTATAAAAAAAAACAATGACACACACAATCAAACAAAGAGAGATTACCATGGGTACAACAATGTCCTCCTTTCCTGTGCTCCTCAGAAATGTATATGATAGGAGTCCGATGCTCTGCGTAGAGCTAAAACCAACATAAGGTAAAATAAACTATAACAGAAAAATCATAACTAAAGCCTGTTGTTCAGTTTCTTCAGTAGTGAGAATACAATCCACTTAAAACGATTAAAATCATACTACCAGAAAGGAGATAAAACAACTAACCTCTTTCCATCTTTTCCAGGGCAGCGCGAGAATACAATGACATCAGCTCCAAGTCTCATTGTACTAGTCTTAAAACCATTGCCATCTATAAGCAGTAAACGAGTTAAGCGTTTTCCTCCAAACACATAATACCTATCACTGGTTTTGACAAAGTAAAATTACATTGTCCAATAGTGTTTACAAGTTTGCTTTTGGCAGAGTATCCTAGAGACATGCATTGTCGCATTTTTTCAGGATCCATCCCACCTCCATTATCTGCATTTTAAACATTGAGGATCGAGAAGTGGACAAAAGATCAGCACTTTAAGCAACCGATAACCACATGAATAAAACAGGGAAGAGATGCTTTGAGATAATATGCTAATTAAAATGTTATACCTTCAATTAACAACATCCTGTCTCCTGCTTTCTTGTTTTCGAGCATGTCTACATTAACCTGAGTTGCTCCACTGGCAACCTGATATCAAAGAGAAAACATTACTACAAATTCGAAGCTAAATGCGCTTCTGTCTGTGTAATACTATAGTATAAAGAAGTTAAGAAAATTAAACCCACCTCATCCAAAGCATTATCCAAAAGCTCTGCAAAAGCTGCACAAGAGAACATGTAAAAACAACTAAGCCTATAAAAGAAGAAGAGACAAGCTCTACTGTAAATGTAGTCAACAACAACAAAAAAAATACCTCCAAGAGCCCATTTGTGACTGGTAGCATTAGAATGTAAGAACTTGGGATGGACTCTTACATGATCAAACCCACCTGAGACACATAATCAATCCATGTCAAAGAACCAAACAGAATCTCATCTCAGGTCTTGTTCCTTATCAACATTCCAAATTCTGTTTCCAATATTACAGCTCAAGAAACAAGAAATTTCATTGCTTTGTGTGTTTACCTGAAGAAACATCCCAATTACCACCAGGTGGTCCTTCGTAATCCCCAGCTTTCCAGAACTGCTTACAACTACCAACTCTAACGGACGGCGTCCCCGAGGACGTCGACGGTGGCGGCGGAGGAGGCGGCATTGACATGAACACATTGCACGGATCCGCCGGATTACCATGCGTCACGTTTCCCGGCGGAATCGATTGGTAGAATCCTTCAGGCAACACGACGGCAAGCTCATCCACCGTTGCTCTCTTCACGTCGTTCCTCTCAACTTCCGAGGAACCTCCCAAAGCATCTCGTGTTCTCTTGGCACCGACGGGGTTTACTGAATTATACCTTCGTTCGGTGCTTCCTACTTCATCTAACCCGCCGGCGTTTCCCTCTAAGTCGGAGTCATCGCTGCTACCGAGATCGATTACAGTTACAGGTTCTTCTTCTCGAGAAGTAGAAGTTGGTAATACCTCTTGCTTCACTTCGTTATCCATTAATTAGTAATGGACAGGAAGAGTTTGACTAAGAGTCAAAAAGAAAATTTTTGAGAACTCAAAAAAAAAATCAAACTTCTGGTGCTACGCTGCGGTTCGCCGGCGACGGGCGAGAGAGAATGCTATAAAACGCGACAAGCGGCGGAATTATCTAAAAGAAGAAGAGAAGCAGTAACAAAGGGTTTTACTTCATTTTCCACGTGTGTGTTACTTTCTTTTACAGTTTTACTTGGTTTCTGTTTTTTCTTTTGTCGGCTACTTTGACTTTATTAATAAGTAAAATCTATACTTTGGTTTATGTGAGGACTCATTTATTTTGTTTTGTCGGCATGTGAACACTCATTTAACCAACAGAGAAGAAACTTAAGAATTACAACTCTTGTTCTTTCTTCTTCATGACCAAAGCCATTTCAACATAATGTAATACAATTTCATCTCACAATGTAGATAAGTTTAGTAAATCAGACATTATTGTGCACATTCTATGATGACTTGGAAGCAAAAGGTGGGTTCAATCATTACAATTCTCAACAACTAACTTCGTAATGCCTAACTAGATATAGGCGATTTCATGCAAAAATGTTATTCATATGATAGGAGGAGAGAGAATTGGATTCAAACACTCTTCACTCTTCAATGTGCAAATTAAATAAAAATTAGATTCGTTCAAAAATGAAAGCCTTGGGATGGTCTAATTCATCCTCTGAGCGGCTTCTTTGGCTAGAATCCTCTCCTTAGCCTTAGTCTTGGCCTGAGATTTGGATCACATTATCCCACCTCCCCATTTCTTCCTGTATTCATCATATTTGTCATTGAAGTTTGCCTATGCGAAAAAAATAGAAACCGTAAGAATTCGTTGTACAGAATCTAAACATGTGTAGCGATTGAAATTGAACAAAGCATCTTACCTTAATGGCCTCAAGGACTTTGCTGTGATTCTTCACTGTGGTCAAACACAAGCAAGACGCTGTTCTGGTGGCAATGCTCCTCCGATCCCAAACTGCTTTGGACGTCTCTCAAAGAGAGGGTTTGTTACTTTCTCCTGAAACCAAGAAAAAGTTTACAACTAAGAACTGATGCAAAGAAAAGCAAATAAAAAATCTTTAGAGAGAGAGAGAGAGGGAGATACCGGCTTCTTTGGTAGCCACTTTGATTCCTTTGTTTGGGGCCTAAAACAAAATTGAATTGTAGCTTTTACAATAAGAAGTCGAACGTTACAGGAAGAAGGATAGGAAATAAACTAGTGACGACAAGTGCCGATTGATTGATGATTAAAGTAACAAACTTTTGTAGCAAAACATATATTATTTTATACGAACACTTGAACATGAATAGACTGAAGAAGTACCAATCAATTCCTCTTGTGTAAAACTAAGTTAGCTACAACGGAAGACACAAGGCAAGATTCAAGTACGCATTTTTACCAACCACAGTTGCAAAAACATTAACATCAGGCTAACATAAGTCTGAAAGACAAAACCAGAAGCCCAAAGATTCCAATAACGCAGCATTTTCGAAAACAGACCTGAAGAGATGGAGAGTGGATCACTTTTTGACAGCTGAAAGCCTGAAACCGACACTACACTAAACAATGTAAAAGAAGAAAACACAAATAGAGAGAACAAACAGGGCACTGAAGAATGAACTAATACTAAAACAACAGATCGAATTTGGGGCTAAGAGATTTACCATTTTTCAGCTTTTCCACAGCACTGTTATCCCAAGAGAGGAGAAACTGAAATCCTAGAGACTGACTAAAGGAAGAGAAGACACACGAATATTTTTGGTTTTCTTTCTCTGTTACGTGAGTTGTTGTAAATGAGCCATATCTTGGATCCAATTTGGAATTTAACTAAGCCCAACCTTATCGACTTTACCCGAAAAAAGGTATTTTCCTTATGATTTTGGGTTATACTCGTTCTTAAAGACACTTTAAGAGAGCAAAAAAAAGGCAAGCAAACACTTGTGATTATGAATTTTGTTTATGATTAAAGACTTGTGTTTATGACCTTTGTTGATGGATTATGAATCTGGTTTTATGATGTTTGGAATTCCTAACTACGTAGTTGTAGGTAGAATGACGATTATTGTTTGTTCTTGCAGGCAAATTTGTTTCACTCTGTCTCAATCACGATATACTGAGCCATAATGGAGATGCAACATGGAGAAAACGTATTAGAAGCTTAGAATTACATTAGAGATTAAATACTTCCTAATACGCGTGGAAGCGAAGCGATACAACAACAAGTCTAGATCCCATCTCTAATTTAATACGATTACACTCCTCATCAGTCATCATTCCCAAACACATTTTTTATAAATATAAAATAAAACAAAAGCAAAAGTGAGATTAGACTTTAGACATGACAGGGACCACCACAAACTCCATTACAATACTTCGGCAAAGCTTCTTACGTCAACTTACTCCTCATTTTTTTTGCGTCAGTGAGAGTGAGCCTCGTGTCCATGTCCCTCCTATAATATACACACATTTTCAAATCAAAAATTAAATTGAAAAATGGGATCATCTTACTACGACGCATTCAATCAGAGAAACAGTCACACTACGTTTCATAGGATTGAAAATTAAATGCATAATCTAAAACAAAAAAAGTTTCCTTCTTTAACGGACCATCGAGTTAACTATGGCTAGTGGCTACTTTAGACGTTTCTTTTTCTTTCCAAGATTTAGAATTTCAAATTACCCGATGGGGGAAAATGGATTGGAGGAGGCTGGGCTTGTTGTTGTGCTTGGAATGGTGGGAAGAGGAGCGGAAGACGCCGTGTTTCTTGAACTGTTCTCTGACCAAACGGTTGTAGATAAAAGCGGCTCCTTGGAACTGAGGAAGAACAAGCCAAGCGATGAACACGAGTTTCACAGAGTACCAGATTGGAATCCACTCAAGCAGCGATTGCAGAATCAGCTCCGATAGTGTCAGGAACGAGTATATGATCCAGTACGCTAGCCACTGTTCATCGTCTACTTTCGTCGCGCTCTCCATTGCTACCACCGATGCGTACCTATATACATTAGAAATTTCATACATTCGAATTCAGATTTTCTTTTTCTTTAAATCAAAGAATAGAAATCAAGAAAGGGAAAACTTACAATGGATACAGCAGCATCACCAGGGGCCTGCATATACAAGCAACAAAATTAGGTTTTTTCTTGATTAGAAATCGAAATACAGGAAAAGGTAAAGTGATTTTGATATAATTTTGTAAAAAAATGTTAGGATGGAGAAGAATACCCAGCGCCTGAATGAAGAGCAGTGAGGAAAGTCCAGAATTTGCTCATCTTTTCTTTGTTTAGGGCTGTGAAATTTTCAGAAGCTAAAATCTGCAAGAGTGAGAGACAGAGAGAGAGAGAGACAACTCTGTGGAATCTTCGAGGCTCTTTAATTTTTCTCTGAGAGAACACGACAAAGATACATGAAAGGAAGAGCCTAATTTTATAGAAAAATATCTGTGGAGAATTTGTACGGTTTGCTACAGTTGGTTCACACCCTTTTCATTGGATCCTTGTAAAATGGGGTACGGTTTAATAGGTAAATTAAAAAGTTTTGGAAAATAATTCATCTTTTATTTGAATAGAACGCTGATGTCGGTCGCTATACAACTACACTACGACGGTCTGATCGAACGATTGAAATTAGAATGTCCGGTTTAGTCTCGTTCGATTCGGTTCTGCTCATTTCTTCCGGTTTTTATCCCAAGGATTTGGACACGTGGCGAAAGGGGAGTAGCAGATTCTAACTTGAACGCGTCGACATGATACCGACCTCAAAAGAGAACAGGTCGGTCGGTGAGTGCTTTCGTCATTGCAATATATTATAAATTTTTGTTCAACGAAATGCTTTCTGTTTGTTGATTACCCTTTAAAAAACCACAAAAATACCAGTTTGTTAAAACTCGTGTCATTCGTAGGAATGATCAAGAACAAGTCTTACCAATAAAAAACCAATGAGTTTGATTCTTCCCCTAACGACTAAGCTTCACAAATTCGAAATTATGCCTTTCTTTTCTGTGTGTTTTTTTTTTAACATCAGATATGCTTTTTCAACCTTCTCATCAAGTAGTGTTAAACCATAAAAGTCGAAATCGATTCCCGCAAAAAAAAGCTACAATATGATATGATATATAGGGAGATCCCTACTGCTTAAAACAAATACATGAGTTTCAAAATTTTAAATTTAGCTTCCAAAAATGAAATTTGGAATGGCCTAATTCATTCTCTGAGCAGCCTCCTTGGCAAGAACTCTCTCCTTAGCCTTAGTCTTGGCCTGAGATTTGGATCCCATAATACCACCTCCCCACTTCTTCCGGTACTCATCAAACTTGTCATTGAAGTTTGCCTATAAGAGAATAATGGAAACCGCTTGAGAATATTTTACAGAATCTAAACATGTGTAACAAATGAAATTGAACAGAGCATCTAACCTTAATGGCCTCGAGGACTTTGCTGAATTCCATCTTGTCCTCGTTCTTCACTGTGGTCAAACACAAGCAAGACGCTGTTTTCTGGTGGACAACCTGCAATATCTCATCAACAAAGGGATTGAGAACAAAGATCAAATACATCTTCTTCTGTATTTCTCTAGAGTAAATCAGAAACGCCCAAAAGTAAGCAAATCATAGTTACCGCTCCCAATCGTGATTTCCCCTTGACAATGCAGTAAGGAACTTCCATTTTCCTGCACAGTGCGGGCAACCATACGACCAACTCAATCGGGTCCACGTCATGAGCAATCACCACCAATTGGGCCTTGTTCTGCAATCATAACGAAACAGATGAGCTTCAGACCATATTCCTGCAGAAAGCTTATTATTAATTGCTACAGAGTAACAACTGAATTAGTTATGAAGGGAAGAGACCTGTTCAATAAGGTAAGTCACATGGTTAAGACCATACTTCACAACAATTGGCTTCTTCGATTCAGCAGGTTTGCCTTCAGCCTCAGACTGAGCCTTCTTGAGAAGACGCTCCTTCTTGGCTGCCTTGTCCTCAGGCCTATACTTGAGCAGAATCTTGAACAGAGACGTTGCTGCAATAAGAACAATCATTGAGTTTAAGTAGCAAGAGAGTATCTAAAGCAGATGACATCAAACACTAGTGTGATGTAGAGAGAGAGCAACAAAAGGAAAAGAGATGAAGACCTAAGTTTTTGTCAAGGGTCTTAGTGAACTGGTTAAGTGCTGGTGGGACCTTCAACCTCTGCTTCAGGATACGCTTCTGCCTCTGCAGGCGGATCGACTTTGGCCATTTGATGTATCTCGTGAGATCCTTCTTTGGTGGCAATGCTCCTCCGATCCCAAACTGCTTTGGACGTCTCTCAAAGAGAGGGTTTGTTACTTTCTCCTGAAACCAAGAAAATATTTATAATTAAGAACAGATACAGAGGCAATCAAACAATATCTTTAGAAGTAGAGCAGAACACAATCACATACCGGCTTCTTCTTGGTAGCAACTTTGACTCCTCTCTTTGGGGCCTAAAGAAATGAAAGTAAAGCTTTTTGAGTAACAAAGCAACATAAATGTTTAACAACCACGTGAGAAATTCAAATGAAAACAGGAAGAAGGATAGGGCATAAACCAGTGACTAAAAGTGCTTATTGAGTGATGAATAAATAAACAAGCTTTTGTAACAAAACATGAATATGTACACTAGCACATAAATAGGTTTAAGAAGTACCAATCAATTCTTCTTATAAAATACTGAGTTAGCTACAATGGAACACAGAAGGCCATATTCAATTACAAATTCTAACCAACCACAGTCGCAAAAGCTTAAAGGCTAACATAATTCACTGCTATTAGCTTGAATCTCAAAGTAGAAGAACAGAAGCCCAAAGAATCGATTACGAAAATAATTTGAATAAATATACCAAAACAGAGCTAAAAACGATGGAGAAAATCACATTTTCAAACTGCTAAATACCATGCTAAAATATAAAATCTAAGACGAAAAAATTAGACGGAGCTAACAATGTACTGCAGAATGAATAATACGACGAACAGATCGAATTCGGAGCAAGAGCTATACCATTTTCGGCTTTTCCACAGCTACTGTTTTCCAAAGAGAGAAGAAGAAGCTGAAACCCTAAAGAGAGAGTAACGAAAGAGAAGACAACGAGCATTTAGGTTTTTTTTTGTTGAGTTGTGTAGATGGGCCTTCTGCTGGGCTATAAACCCAACCATTTCTATTTTTTTTATACTAAAGGTATTTTCTTTCCGATGTCCAAAACAATAAAATTTTCTTCACCAATTGAATGATGAACCAAGAAAATCCATATTTTTTTTAACTCATTTTCCCAACTCAATACATACATTGCTTTTACCGTTTTGGTCAAACTACATCAAACCTTGATCAAGATTCTATGAATTTAAAAAGAGGTAAGAATAAAAATCTAAAACAGTTTTGCTTTTATTGAGTTTGATGAACATTTTACAAAACAAACAAAGAATCAAGTTGGAACCAAAGTATCGATCTGTCTATTCATGGAGAGATGATCAAAGCCGTTCATCAACACAACTAAAACCAATAACAAAACCAGCATCATACTAACATAAACAATATTTCCTCTCTTCTTCTGCTTCTTCTTACTATTGTTATTATTATCTGTCACTCTCATCACATTCGAAGACCAACAAGGCGAATGAGAAAGCGATGTCCATTTGTCCTCATCATCGTCAGAGTCGTGAAAGAGTTTTCTCCTACAAGGTGATCTTTGTGGAACCATCTCTGCCTCTGGACAGGCCTGCTCGTTTTGGAGAGAGAGCATCAGCTTTCTTGGAGAGTTTTCCACCAACTCAAGAGCTTCTTCCACAGTGATACATGAATCTGCAGATGAGCTTTTGCCTGCTTTCATGGCGGTCCATTCTTGCTCAAGCTCACTCAACTGCTGCTTCAGTCGCTCGTGTGGATTTACCTCTCTTCTTTTTATTTCTCTTTTCATGATTGAATTAGGAAGAATGAAAACAGAATTTTGTTTATATAATAGGGACGTAGCCTTGTGAGATCTCAGTAATTACTATTTATTTCCTTTTTAAAATTTCTTTGGTTTGAGTTTTTATATCTTTGATTGATACATAGAATTTGAAATTTGAAACTTAACAATTCAAATTTTAATAACTGATAAATCTATTTTACAGGGAAGAAAAATCTGAACTGAGACTGACCAATTCTTTTACAATCGTTTTTAAGAAAAATAAAATCACTAATAAATAATCAAATCCAGAAACGGCGCATATTATTAGTACCTTCATAGCATAAAGTGCGCAAAAAAAATGACAGAGACATATATAGTAGAATCTCATAGATCATCAGAATTAGATCAACTTTAGAACTCAATGGTTAAGAGGTAAAAGAGTCAGAAATGTCTTCCATCACACCTTTCCCATCTTGAGCATCGAAGTAGAAGAAGTTCTTTAATGGGTCTCCTTTGCCTGATACCGCTTTGATCACTTCCTGCAACACCAAAACCTCTCTTTTCAAATTACAAGTTTCTTGTTAGAGGATTCGAATGAGAAAAGAAAGTGTGTGAGAGAGAGAGAGAGAACCTGTGCTAAGATTCCTCCTACAATGGCACAAGCTGGTGGGAATTCGGTATGACCAGTGATCAGTCTCTCCAAGAGATTGTCTGGTATGTGGCTCTCGCTCACAGACTGTCGCAATATTCAGTTTTTCAGTGAGCTGAAGTGACATGTGTAAAGAATTAGCAAAAAACAACAACCAAAAAAAAACATACGTTTGCTTCACAGAGCTTCTTTTTGATCTCCAAGACTTTGGCACGATCAAGCAGTGAGCATTCTCCATGTTTACGCCCTTCACTCTCCTCAAACACTTCTATTACTGAAAATTCTCATGAGAACACCAAAGATTAGTGAAGCATTGTGTGTTATATGAATCGGTCTTAGGATCCAAGTTTCAATTGTTTATGGTTAGTAACAAAGACTTCAGTTATTAGCTCTAGTAACTAGTAATCACCTCTCATAGCAAAGTAGAGCTTTGCTGTTCTCCGAGGAATCGGTTTCCAAGGTACTGATATAGCTTCCTGCGGCAATAAACCAGCAAATGATATTTTTTACTTCTTATGCAGATGCAACCACTATTCATAGCAAAACTTATTGGGACACTGTACCTGAAAACTCGGATAATTTAGTTCGCATTCAACCGTCTCCTCGAGCTTTTTCTGTGGAAAGCAATTTGCCAAGAAAAACAATACAAAAGAAGATCAAATCGCGCACTTTAGAGAGCTGCAAATGGAGTCTAAATATTCAATAGAATGTAAAATCATAGATATGAAAAGAACGATGTGCCTGAAACGCCAAAACAGTATATAATGAGCATAAGAAATGCAACATCGAATCATGGAAGTACCTTAGTGTACTTGTAATTTTGAAGGTCAACAAATATTTCACCACATGAGTCTCTACAATCGACTGTATAGAATGCCACACGTTTCGATAACTTCCGACATTGTTCATTGACAGATTTCTGCAAAACAAACAAACAAACAGACAACGTTATGAAGAGATGTATGGAGCAACCAACCAAAAGTATGAAATGGAGCTATATTAAAGCTATTATCAATACCTTGATAACACGAGTACCGTAGCCAATAACAACCACATCAAACTTCTCAAAAAATTCAGCGCCAAATGTTGACAAATCACCTGGAAGATTTGAAAGAATGAACAGATGATCAAAGTCAATATAGTCTTACGTTATTAAAACAATTCAAGGAGAGGTATCAGAGGGAAACCTTTCTCTACAGAGACATGGACCATAGGGTTAAAGTCCCTGAGTGAATCACAACAAATCTCAGCCACTGTTTTGCCTGTGTAAGCATTTTCATCAGGAGGAATCAAGAAGTTTGCGTTCAAGGCCTCCTCGTTCACTAAGCGATCATCCATTAACGTCACACTACCAACTCCTGCCAGCACAATGTTCTTGCAAAACTACCCACCAGATGGAAGCAAAAGACAAGTAATGTAGTAAGGCAAAGATTAACTGATCGAAAAATCACTACATCTCAGCACAAATTATAGAGTTGCAGCTACCTCAGCAACGGTCCCCTTTATTCCAGACACCAAGATATGAGATTTGGTCAATCTGCAAGCAAAACACAACCCTCACACTATATCAAATGGTGCCAAGCTTACACAGTAAATACATGGTAATGTATTGTATTAATCAATAATATAAGCTTCGGCAAAAAGAAAAATGTGACTGAACGAGAAACTTGAACTCATCATTATGATACTGTCTCCTCAGAAAACAACCTAAACGAAACTCAGAAGTTTCCAATTCACTAGTCTAGAAGCAGAAATCAATTTTTATACCAACTCAGAGTGCAAATTCCAAAAAAAAATATCAACTTTAAGAGTTTTAGTACACGAACCAAAGCAAAACTGGGATTATACAGCCTAAAAGCAATGAACTTTCAAAGTTGAAAAATTAATTTCAGCGTTTAGTAAAATAATCTGATGAGAAAGTTAGTTACCTTCGTTGAGCATTAGGGCCCCAAACCCTAATCTGGCGGTCGTACAAGGCAGTCTCCTGCTCGGTGAGCTCTTCTCCGTCCATTCGCAAATTCAATCTATCAATTCAACAAAGCTTTGCTATCAGAAACTCAAATTCGCATATATATAAGTATATTACTGACTAATCTTTGAAAAATGAAAGCTTGCGAAAACCTAGTCTGCAAGGTCTAACTGGGTCGATTTTTTTGGTCCAAGTTCTCTGAGTGTCCCAACTGTTTAAGTCAATGGGTTTTTAATGGAAATTGATTTCCATTAAAAAATGTGTATTTTTATCATTGTTTTTACTTTTTTTTTTTTGTTTTGGAGAAGGGGCTATTTTTTTCATTATGGGTTTTGTTTCTTGACAAAGTTTTGTTATTCTGTTATCTTCTGACTAATTTTAGTGTTACAGAAAAGAATAATCTATACTATAAACTATGGTAACTACAGTAATTACTATGTAATTAGTTTGTCAACAACACAGTGTCTATGGCACCAATCAATGTGGGATTATCACCGGTACTTTTGTGTTAATAAGTCTTTACTTGGGTTTAAAACAGATTAGTTCTTCCTCATAACCCTAACATGCCTTGATTAAAAACACATTCATGACATATGTGATATATAAAAGTATGTGTGTAGTTAATCAGTAGTTGATCCTAATAGGGTTTGTAGTTCTTTTTTAATATAAGCATATTAATCTGGTAAAAATATCTACATGGACAAAGAGGTTTATAAACTTAGCTAAGAATTTACTGAATTTTTTTTGTACAACCGAAAAATTACAAAACCTCTTTTGTTTGCATTTTCATCTTTTATCAAAATCTTATGAAAATACGTGATATGTAATTGTAGTCTTAATGAAAAGAGCATACCTGCTAAATCGTGAAATTAGAACTTCCTTGTCCAGTGGAATCTTTTTCATTCTCTCTATTCCCTGCAAAATTCTGCATATGTTCAAACAGTGCGCATGGAAATCACAAATCAGTAAGACATTTAAACAGATAGTGAGATACGGAAAACATTAATTCGTCAAGAGTCAAGACGATTGAACGTCTTTTCCTCTCTCTCTAATTTGATTCGCTGGTAGTTTTTCTAGTGGCATAAAGTCGACTCAATAGTTATTAAAGTCAATTTGATTTTAATGAAGCATTCAAATGAAACGATTTAACTTACAAATACATGTATTTAGCAAAAAAAAAAAAAAACTTACAGATACATGTATGATTAGTTACACTGATGACTGAACTTTGCGGATTGTATTTAATCAAATTTTGTGAATGGGTGATGAAAGTAAAATGGGTGAAACTCCATTTGGAATAAACTATACTCTCTCCGTTTCACAAAGAGTGTCGTTCTGACATTCTTCATACAAATTAAGAAATAAGATAAAAAGTCTCTTATACTCTTATTAATTTGCAGAAAATAACTATTAAAATTATATTTATAATTAATTTTCTAAATTTATTGAGATTAAATTTGGTATTTTATGTTAAAAATTATATTGGAATTCTAAAACGATATTCTTTTTGAAACAAAAAAAGTGTCAAAACGACACTTTTTGTGAAACGGAGGGAATAGTAGTTTTCTTCATACATTTCTCACATTTTATACAGGACGTTGTAGTACTAATTGCATCTAAAAAGGGAGTACTTTTAGTTTCTTCCTTGCATCTAAAAAAAATAAATTAAATTTATACACACGCTCAAACTTAAGACAAGTCTAATTCTTAACACAGAGTCAAAGAGATGTCTAAATTACATATAGCTTGTTTACTGGAGTTAAAACAAATCAAGAAAATATTAGAAAGTTGAAGGCCACCGGATAATGGATACAGTAAAGAATAGTTTACAAGTGGAATATATATTAAGTATCTGGAGGAGAAGAGAGTAACCCATAAAAAAACATGACTTTGGTCGCCAATTTGCAACTCATCCTCCCGCAACGGCCGAGAACCAGCTTCAGCACCAAGCTCTTGTGTTCACTGAAAACCCCAACAACAACAACAACAACACAACAAGTCTCTCCTTCTTCTTCTTCTTCTTCTCCAAGCTCTCTCTTACCAAAGCTAATCTCTTTTGCGCTTGCTCTCTCTCTAAACTCCTCCTCTTCCCCTGCCTTAGCCATCCCTTCTCTCTCCTCTTCTCAGCCTCTCACTACTCCTTTCACTCAATCCAAGTTCGTGCAGACCGGTCTTCTCAATGGGTTTGTTCCTCCTCTTCTCTCTCTCTCTTTATCTCTCTCATTTTCCCTCGCTGTGTTATGCTAAATTCTACGTTTTTCTCATCTGTTGTAGCAAAATCAGGCCTTGCCCTTCCACGAACCCAGGATGCGTATCGACGAATCCCACCTCATCTTCCTTCTCATTCCCATTGACGATCCCAGAAACCGATACACAGGATCCAATTCAGGTCTATTTCTCCCATTTTCACTATACACTTCCTCTCACTTTTAGTGATTATAAGTGACACGAGAATCAACACACTCATTCGATTGCAGAAATTGAAAGAAGCAATAGGGAGGACCCAGAAGAATCCCAAGTTTGTGGTTATTGAAGATACCCCTTACGGTAAGTGACTGTTTTGAGACAAAGATAAGCATTTTGCCCCAATTTAAGTACAATAATTGTTTGTAGTGTGTGTTAATTAATGACTAAAGCCATGGAGAAATGAGAGTAAGGATCATCATAACACACAAGAAAAAAAATATGCAGGGAGATATTTGGAGGCAGAGATAGAAGGAGGAGGATTCAGCAGAGATGTGATGGAGTTTTTGGTGAAGCAAGATGTGGTTGCTTACAGGTGTATGGCCACTAAGGTCACCTTTGTGTATCCCTTCACCACTGCTTTTGGTGACTCCAAGGGACAAGAAGAGAGGATGAAGAAGCTCATCGACGACCTCGGTTGGTATGCTCCAACCTTTGAATCCATGGATTAGTCTTCTCTCTTCTCTTCTCTTCTTTCTTCCCTTTGTAACAATATATAGATGTTTGCAGTACAAAGTCGCTACTCAGACATTATGAGTGTTTGTTTTGTCCTTCATATGAGCCTTTTCAATTGATGAGCTATAGATGATGTGTGTTACACAACTTCCAAATGTTAATATTTAGCATGGAAAACTGAAAGTGAAACAATTTTAGAGGATAAAAACATTCTTCTTAGTGTTGTTGTAGGAGAAAGAATGAAAACTAAAACATTCTTCTTTTTGTCTGGTAATATAACAAGAAGTCACAATTCTTTTAGTGGGCTTGGGCCTAAAATACAATTTCAGCTCTGTGTAGTTTTGACTTTGCTGACATGGCGTACATTAATCAGGACTCGGTCTGTGATTGGCTCTTGAATATCCATGTGACGTTATTTTTTCTCTCCGTTTAATTCAGCCTGTATATATATCTCTTTGCATTAATTTTATCCGAGTTTATTTCTCTTCGTACCAAACCAACAGACAGAGAAAAAAAAATAAAGAAGTCGTCGTTGTCGTCAAAGAAAGAAAGCGCCATGGATGCCATCGATTCCGTCGTCGATCCTCTTAGAGACTTCGCCAAGGACAGTATTCGCCTCGTTAAGCGTTGTCACAAGCCAGATCGCAAAGGTATTACCTTATTGTTCTATCTTCCTTCTTATTCCAGGGATTGAACGAGCTCGGTATAACGGATTCTGCGTTTGATTTCCCTTTTTCTTAATTTGCAATTCGTGTCTATGCATGTGCGATCTGTGTGTTTTCATCTCGTCTAATTTTATGGATCTGTCTTTTCTGTATTCCGGATGGGAAGATCTGTGTATGTTGAACAGAGAAATCCGTGTTGATGTTTTGCAGTATGAAGAGTGTGATCTGATTCTGTGAGTTGCTTTTGGTTGTAGAATTCACGAAAGTGGCGGTCCGTACAGCCATCGGGTTCGTAGTAATGGGATTCGTGGGCTTCTTTGTGAAGCTCATCTTTATTCCGATTAACAACATCATCGTCGGTGCCACTTAGGTCACTCCCCTTCACCATTTTCCTCTGTTTGGAAAGACAGTAAAAAAGGTTAATTTCTTTGGAGGGTTTTGTATATACTAGAAAATTACTTGCATTTGCATATCGTCGGTGACATCAGATAGTATTGTACTATTGTTTATGAGTATTCAAGAAAACTCATTGAATTGAAGTTGGTTTGGTTCAAGTATTGGTGATAGTCTTCTAAATTCAAGAGTTTTGTTGGTTTTTGTCATTTCAGTGTCGAGTCAAGATATCTATAAAAGGTTTAATCGAAACTGCTAATAGATTTTTTGGTTCAATCATGAACATTGCACTGGCATTTTAAGCGAATTTGCATAATCGAAGATATTTGGATGATGATATGCAACTGGTGTATAGATATGAATGGGGATTTGCCAAGTAAAAGGTGGATTTAGCTTGTTCTTGTAATTTGGGATCAACTCTTATAATCTTTGGTTTTACATGTTTGCAGATAACCTGGGAGGATGGAGAAAGGTAGCTACAGCTTTGTTGTTTGAAGAAGGCACTTCATAGTTTTTGTTTTTTTTTTTGGTTCAGATACACAAAAGAGGAAACATTTGTTCACAAATTGCATTCTCCGGTAATTGCATTCTAATTAATATATGTTACTGTTTATTTTTCACTCTATTGTTAGTTATGGTGAAGAAACTTACAAAACGAATACCTCAAGAGCTTATTTATATTGGTTATTGACACAACAAATCGAACCAGTAGATTTAAACAGAGCTTTTTCTACTTCTGAAAGAAACAGAGTAAAAACGAATTGCTTTTTACTTATAAGTTGAAATATCAATGAAATATGTAATATATCAATGAAATATGTAATATGTCAATGAAATATGTAATATGTCAATGAAATATGTATGAGAATTGGGTTGCAATATCCCAGTCTCTGAAAGAATCTGAACGCGCACGGTGTAATGGATTATAAGACGAGCTTAATTTGAAATAATTTTATTGCAATCAAATTTCACGGTATAAAGATACAAGGGGTAGTACTTAATCTAAAAGTTTCATCATAAAAAATCCATTAAAAAAAAAACATAAATTAGGCTTAGACATGATAATAGAAATAGTTACGGATTACCAGGATGTATCCGATTTTGGTGGGAGGCAGAGCAAAACAATTTATAAAGCAAGTAGCTTATGGCCACCACAAGGATAACGCTTAAGCCTACGAGTGCTGCGATGAATAAATATTGCCTCATACTGATTCTTCTTCACCACACACCAAAAAATTCTTCTTTCTAACTTTGTTTTTTAGTTTTAATGTCGGGTCAAATGTATTTATATTATGTACATGTATCGTTAGTATGTAAAGTTTACATTTCTGTATATAAATCGTGTGAAGTTTGTAAGTTTTACATTTTGTCATTAAGGAACATAAACAACGAAAAATGAAAATTTTACAGTTTGTCATTAAGTTTACATTTCTGTATATAAATCATGTGAAATTTGTAAGTTTTACATTTTATCATTAAGGAACATAAACAACGACAAAAGAATGAAAATGAAAATTTTACATTTTGTCATTAAGAAGCATAATAACTTGGAAAAATGGAAGTTTTACTTTGTTGATCATAGTGATTTAAAGCCCACTATAATGTTTTGAAACAAAATGTTAAAAAATTATAGTGGGCTTTAAATCACTACATGTGGAATGTGTGTTTGCAGAGAGGTTCTGAGCTCAAAGAAAAAAAGGAAAAAAATCAACACAAAGGCCCAATCACTGATTTGGTAAAGATTTTTTACATTATTAACACTTTAGCCTCCGATGATCCACGACCAAAAACTCCACCCCAAGAGTATCATGGAACCAACCAATTCACCAAACTTGTTCACCATGTCGCAATCACATTGATACACGTTTATTTCTTTTGGCCAATATCTTTGCAACATGACAGATTTAATCATAATAATAATAATGATATTAGGTAAACCCAAACTAACAAGCAAATGACATGACAACAAGAAAAAGAAAAGAAAAGAAGAGTGAGAGAATCTTGGAACAGAATCAACACGACCTTTCCTTGTTATTCACTCGAAGGTGACACAAATACATAATTGTTGATCATTTAAAACCACAAAGATGAGATACCATTAACAAAAATCTTTTTTGAGAACCTGATGATATTGAAAAATAAGTTGAGAATAGTAGTAATAATGCCTCCACAACTTCATCAAACTTCACTTCCTTTTCTCAATCCTCTACTTAGATTCTCACCTCCTTCCTCACCTGATAATCCAAAACACCATCGAGAATCAAAGATCACGATGCCAAAATTCACTGTGCGTAAACTCATACCTCTTCTTATCTTTCTTCTTTCAAGCCTCTCTGTTCTTCGACTCCTTCGGATTTCTTTCAAGTCTTCATCCTCTGTTTCTTCTCGGCCCTTCTCTTCCACCACATTTCGCTCGAGTCCTGCTGAGTCCAGTCAACAGATCAGGGCTAATGCGAGCCAGAGAGCTCTCACGGAAAAGGAACTCAAGCTTTTATCAGATACCGTTACTCGTAGATCCCCTTGCAACGTTCTTGTTTTCGGGTTTGCACCTCAATTCCTCATGTTATCTTTGATCAACACTAGAGGCATTACCGTCATTTTAGAAGATGAGCCTGCAAAGATAATGACATCAAAAGATGAAGTGAATCCCAACAACACAAGAATCTACAGCTTGAAGTACCATCATATGGAAGTGAAAAACGCTTACAAGCTACTTCGACATGCCCGAGCTAACCCCGCATGCGCACCAAATATGAATAATCAAGTTTCATCAGACTGCAAACTGAAACTGAGGGATTTGCCACAGGAAGTACACGACATCGAATGGGATGTTATCGTTGTTGATGGGCCACGTGGGGATGACTTAGAGGCGCCAGGTAGGATGGGGAGTATATACACTGCAGCTGTGTTAGCAAGAAAAGGAAGAAGCAACTCAACAACAGATGTTTTCGTGCATGATGTGCACAGGACTGTTGAGAAGTGGCTCTCCTGGGAATTCTTGTGCCAGGAGAATCAGGTTTCAGCTAAAGGAAATTTCTGGCAGTTTAGGGTCAAGGGTCAATCAAATGCATCTAGGTTTTGCTCACTAGAAACAGCCCTGATCAGATATTAGCAAAATTTTGTACATCTAATCCACTTCAGCGTCTTTGTCTCATAATAGTGTAGGAAAACATATTTTTCAAATAAGCCACATTCAATGTATAGTTGCTATTAGAGTTTTGTAGAAATGTTATTCCAACTGTGTCCTAAGTAGAAAACGGAAACAGCTTGATGAAATGGCCATAATCTATGCACCAAACACGACTTGTTTCATTTTTATCTCTCGCAGAACAAGAAACATCAGACGGGAAGATATACATTTTTTTTTTTAAGACGAAGAACCAGGGAAGATCAGATAGTAGCAGAACGGCCTTCTCAATGATATATTTTTATTACTGCATAAGCTTCGTGAAACTTTCACCCTTTAGGATTCCCGCACAAAAACAAAATCGTATCCATTTTCTTACACTACTTTCAAAAGAGTATCACATTTCACAGCTCGACATGAAAAACAAGATACAATTGAGCAGCATCCTAAGCAAAGGGGACTATTCAATTTCTACATGAATGATCCGTCGTCCGTACTTGTTTCCCCTTCGAATGTCAGCCACAATCATCACTCACTACTCTTCTCTCTTCGCTGCAATTGTATACACATAAGGCCATTGAGATGTACTTCTCAAAGCAAAACTAAAAACAGTAACCAAAAAAGCAATATTCATATATTATTGTGAGTAAATGAGGAGTTTGAAAGGAAGACACATTTGAGACTAAGAGAGATATCAATCACGACACATGAAACCAGTCATTTGTAATTTGGTACCACAAAGGCAAAACCTACCGCTCGTTTGCTAATGTACGGCTGTATTTGGACTGGTTCTGATTCGACAGAGATGCTTTCAGTTTTGACTAACTTCCGTTTTTCCTTCTCAAATTCTTTCCTAGATTCTTTACGAGTGCCTGATTGCCAAACTCGACCAAAGTTTGGAAGCCAGTCTGCATCAGTGTTGCTACTCATTGCCTGTCCCCTCTTCTCCATCTCCATCTCCATCTTTCTCCTTTCAGCCCATGCAGCGCCAACCCTATTAGGGTTCAGCTTACAAGTCTTTACAGGCCTCTTTTCCTGAAATCTGGTCATTTCTGATTGGTTTAGTTCAACACTAGAGATATTCCCATCATTTACATTTAGCCACGGAGGAGGAGCTCCAGAGTGAACGTTCCCGCTATCATCGCTGGAATGTGAGGAAGAAATGCTAGACATTCCAACCACACCTGAGAAAAAAAAATAAAAAGGAAAAAGACTCACGCCACTAAATCAATGCAAATCAGACTGGCTACATTAATGAAATTCTAAAAACTAGATGATGAAGCACTAATCATGAAATTGACACAAACGCAGGTCAAATCTGAATATCAAGTAGACACCTACCTGGAGAACTGTAACTGCCCTCAATTTGTTTCTTATCCTGACGCATCTGATAATTCTAGATAAAGACAATGTCAGTCATAGGCTCATATAAAAGTCTGGACTTGAACAACAAGAAGATATCTCCGGAGGGAATCCAAGATGTCACTAAACAGATGAAAAATATAGACCAAACAGTGATGCAACTTTGACAATAAAATATCACACAAACGTATTTTCTCAGTCCATACTTTTTTATGACTCATTCCACCTGAAGTACCCATCATAGATAGAAAAATCGTTCTGTGTCAAAATTACGCATATAAGACATAAGAAATTCCTGAAACCAAGAGAAAGTTATGACCCATAAGCTTTACGAAAAGCATGGCCTACAACCAAAATTTCTATGCCAGGGAATCATCCGTATGAACTTAAGAGGTACCAGCATATAGATGCACCAAGGTTTTTTAGAGAAGCCGATAAAATCTTGTATACCAGAATTTAAATAAACAGCAATATGAATTGTTACAATGACTGAAACCCACCTCTTGGGTGCAATAGTTACCATTGCCGGAGTAATCCTTGCCTGTAAAAGCAATGCAATGTTCGCCAAACTCGTTCCCTAGCAAATAGAATTGATAGAGACCATTATATACATCTTGTTATACACTTAGAAACTGATAGAATATGGAGCTCGGAGTCAAACAAAAGATACCTGGTAGATGTCTCAGCGGATCAGCATATAGAGGGAGATGAGAAGCATTCACGTTCAGATGTGAACCATAATGTGCAACTCCAGGAAACTCTGAATTTGATATCTGATACTCATTCGTATTATACAGTAAAGGCATAACATCATTTGGGTGATTTGAATTTATATGTTGTGCAGATGGTTTTTCAATTCTATCCATAGTTTCAAACTCAAGTTTATTGTGGATATCATTAGATGTCCCGGAAAGCTGTCCACATGACCCTTTATTTCTCAACGCCTTGCATTTTTTCCCCCACTGCATCCAACATATATAGAGTTTCATTAGAGAATTCAACGAATAAAAAAGGTACTAAGACAAGATATAATGTTTCCTTGCCACTGCTACAATTGGGAACTGTTACACAGAAGAAGAGAATAATCTTTAAGAACTTGATGCTTACCTTAGCTACATCAGCTTCTGAAATCAGGAAATCATCTATGCAATCCATTGCCGGGCCATATTTCCAGAGAAATTGCTTGATATTCTTATGATGATCGGGACTTGCAAAGTGATTGATTGCCTTAGAACTGATAAAGAAAGTACTATTATCATGAGAGGAAGAGAGTAGCCAAGCATAGAACCAAAAATGGACGAATGAACACAGTCAAAAGGGAATTCCATACCAGGCGAATGAGCTACCGAGCTCGACAATGTCCTCATCGCAGAAGACACACCATACACGGTTTTGTGATTCCTCTTGGGGGCGTAGAACGCTAGGGTTCTTAAGGAAGAATCTGACGTCGGCTACTTTGGATCTGAATCGATCGAGGAAAGCAGAGAGGGAGTCTTTGTGGCGAGGGAAGTACTTGTGGCGTGGGCCTTGGTCGTGATGCAATCGGCATACCTTGCAGAACTCGAATTCGCTCTTTGTTGATGATTTCTTCTTCTTCTTCTTCTTCGTCTCTTCCATGGACATCTTCGTGTGAACCGATTATTTGTGTAAACGGATTCGAATAGGCCTTTGAAGCTACGGTGTGATGCTCCACACTGTTATCTTCACAAGGCATAGGCATCAAGTTTTCACAAGGCATAGGAAAATCATGAAAACAACCATTGCCAATAACATCGAACTAGCTAAGTGATTTGGTAGAGCATCGATAGGCTAAATCTGCATAAAAGGGTTCTAATCTCAAAACGAATCAAAATCTCGAACAGTAATTGAGTCACAAAATCTAATCAGTAGCACGAAGACATTCATTAACACCTAAAAAAGGGAAGACGCAGAGATCCATTGAATATACTTAACACAGCTACATAGAAAAAGAAGCGAAACCTGAGAGACCCATGCGCATAAGAAATTATTATACATTGGCTATCAGTAACCTTAATCTTATCAGAAACATAGCATTGCAGAGGCAAACTACAATTCAATTCACAGAATTCTTCACTCAAATGGAATCGATTTAGCGTGAATCAAAAGAAGAAAACAATCCCAAGAGAAACCTGCCTTAGTTACCACAAAAATAAGTCGCCAGAAATAAAATCGGAAGGAGGGTTTTGAATTTTTTTTGATTCACGATTTCTGTTGTGGTGACGAGAAGGAAGAAGCAGAAAGACGACGTCTGTGATTTAAAAAAAAAAAAATTTTAAACGGGTCTGAATGGTATAAAACCCAACCTAAATGGGCCAACCTTTTTAAACCCGTTAAAACTAAATTCGCAAACTAACCTAAACAGACTCGTATAACAGGTCCATTCGGACACTAACCGGGACGATTTTGCCTTACAAAACCGGAAATTTTTTGAACCATTTACATCATAAAATCTTGACTAAAAGACTGACAAATTTTACAATCCGCCGGACTTGCTGCAAATCATAAAATCTTATATTTTGGTTGATATCTCTGTTTTTTCTCTTAATTATATTTTTCCTTTTCTCTCTTTAAAAAAATTAAATATCTTTTTATTTTTCTGAAATAATAATAAGTTTTTCTGAAAATTTAAATCAAGTTGTAAAGATCTTATTCTCAACAGAATTTAGACTTTTATAATTTGAGAATAAAAGATCTTACAACATGAAAATTAGAGACTGATTAGACTTTCTATTATCATGAGAACTAAAAAAAAAGAGAACTGTTATTATCAACTAAGAATATTCTCTGTTTAGTCTTTCATAGAGATACATTTTAGATTTTTAGATAACTTCATGAGTGTTTGATAGATATGAATTAGTTTAGGAAGATTCCCATATATTTACTGTTATAAGTTATAAATATTCCCTTCTGGGTTCTGCTTCTGATTATTCACAACGAAGCAATCATGGCTAGGCTTTTGCTTCCGCTTCTATGTTTCATCGGACTGCTGAGCTCGAACTTATGTTTTGGTCACGCCAACGATGGACGCGGAGATCAGCCACTGGCTCAGATTAACGTTTATCAAACAAGTCTTGCTTTGGACTCTTCTGTCGCCATTCACGCTTCCCCTCAAGTTCTTGGTTTAAAGGTTCCAAAACTTATTGCTTCATATTCATTTTTCTCTTCCTTGATATGTTGTCTGATTCTAGTTTTTTCTCTGGAGATTGGTACACATATATATATTATACTCTCAAGAGATGAAAGAAACTAATTTTCTTAGTGCTAGATTGTTGTATGATAGTCTGAGTTACCCGTTTTTAACTGAGGGAATATTTCTTCTTGATCTCACCAAGAACCAAACTTTCAAAAATCGATTGGTTTTGATGTCAGTCTTGATTATATCCTGGAATCTACATCTACAGGGTGAAGATACTGAATGGGTAGAAGTTGCTATCTCCAATCCCAAGCCCACTTCAGACGATTGGGTCGGAGTTTTCTCTCCAGCAAAATTCGAGTGTGTTTCTCCATCTACAACACTGTGTTTGGTTTGATTGTGAATATGATGGGGCTTTTATGCCTTTATTAATGAACTCGTCTTTGTTGTTAGCTCATCCACCTGTTGGCCAACAAATGGCAAAGAGCGATCTCCTTACATGTGCTCATCTCCCATCAAGGTTTGTTTTTTTGTTTTTTTTATTTTATATTACATATTGACCTGTGGTTTCTAGATTTTGATCTCCTGATAACATTCCTTTTTTCTTTCTTTTTGCCAGTACATGTATGCAAAGAATGATCCGGAGTATACAAAGTCCGGGAAAGTGATTTTCAAGTTCCAGATTATCAATCAGAGAGCTGATGTCTCCTTTGCTCTGTTTTCCGGGGGACTTGGAAATGTAGGCTGACTTTACTTTTCTTAAGTTTAGTATACTGTACTTACAATATCAAGTGGACTTATTGATCTTTTGATTACCACAGCCAAAACTGCTCGCGGTTTCGAATCCTGTAGCTTTCGTCAATCCTAAAGCACCTGTCTACCCACGTCTTGCATTAACCAAGAATTGGGACGAAGTAAGTTTCTCCTTAACTTGTCTCAAGGGCCTTGGATATTGAGAAAGATACAAACTTTGAAATGCGTAGCAGCTTTACTTGGTATCTATCACTAAAACATGCTTATTTTGAGTTTTTGATAGATGACTGTAACATGGACGAGTGGTTACAACATAAACGAGGCTGTTCCGTTCATTGAATGGAGTTCCAAGGGACTTCCAAGTAGAAGATCACCAGCTGGAACTATAACCTTCAACAGAAACAGCATGTGTGGTATGTCCTGTTTCCTTTATTTTCATTGTGATTTTATGATTTATTATGCAACAATTCTGGAACATCTTGAAATTCTTCATCTGGATCTTTATACAAAGGTGATCCTGCTCGAGGCGTTGGTTGGCGCGATCCTGGTTTCTTCCATACCGCTTTCTTGAAAGAACTATGGCCAAACCGCGAGTATGACATCTTTAATCTTGCCTGATTTTTTCATCTAAACCAAGAACACTAGTACAGTTTTGTAACTTCCAATCCTTTGGTTTTCAGATACACATACAGGCTAGGCCATGAATTGGTCAATGGCTCGACAATTTGGAGCAAGAATTACACCTTCGTTTCCTCTCCTTTTACTGGACAAGACTCGTTACAACGGGTCATAATATTTGGTGACATGGGCAAGGTACTGTCTTGTTTAAGCCATTGCAGTCTTGGCTTACCCTTGGACTATTATCTCAAGTGGCCACTTTCTTATCGAAATATGTTTTCAGGGAGAGCGAGACGGCACGAATGAATACAATGATTATCAGCCCGGTTCCCTCAACACAACTGACCAACTCATCAAGGACTTGAAGAACATTGACATTGTTTTCCACATTGGAGATCTCACTTATTCAAATGGATACATCTCCCAGTGGGATCAGTTCACAGCTCAAGTTGAACCCATCGCTTCTAAGGTTCCCTACATGATTGCGAGGTGAGTCAAGAAGTAAAGCTTTATCATTGTTTTTCTCCTCTACGCTTGCAGTAGGCTAAGTTACTTCTGTTTCACTTCAGTGGCAACCACGAGCGTGACTGGCCAGACACAGGATCTTTCTATGCCGGTAAAGATTCCGGAGGAGAGTGTGGTGTTCCTGCAGAGACCATGTTCTACTTTCCTGCTGAGAACCGAGCTAAATTCTGGTAAAGTTTGTAAAACCATTGGCGTATTCTTGCAAGTTCCTGAACAATATCTTATAGATTTCGTTGTGAATGGGCAGGTACTCTGCAGATTATGGAATGTTCCGCTTCTGTGTTGCAGACTCTGAACACGATTGGAGAGAAGGCACAGAGCAATACCAATTCATCGAGCGTTGCCTTGCCTCAGTTGATAGAAAGACTCAGCCTTGGCTCATCTTTATCGCTCATCGTGTCCTCGGTTATTCCACCAATGATTGGTATGGCCAAGAAGGAACCTTTGAAGAGCCTATGGGAAGAGAAAGCCTTCAGAAACTGTGGCAGAAGTACAAAGTAGACCTTGCTTTCTACGGACATGTCCATAACTATGAGCGAACATGCCCCATTTATGAGGTTCGATCTCATCATAAATGAATACTCTTATCTCCGTCCTATCAATGTGCCTGTCTTTCAACTTTTTTTTTTTGTTAATATTGCAGAGTCAATGTGTGAACAATGATAAGGATCACTACTCAGGGACTTTCCAAGGAACCATTCACGTTGTTGTTGGTGGTGCAGGAAGTCACTTGTCTCCCTTTAGCTCATTGACTCCTAAATGGAGTTTGGTCAGAGACTATGACTATGGGTTTGTGAAGTTGACTGCTACGGATCACTCATCGCTTCTCTTTGAGTACAAGAAGAGCAGCAATGGCCAAGTGCATGACTCCTTCAACATCTCTAGAGATTACAAAGATGTGTTGGCTTGCATTCACGATAGCTGCGAGCCCTACACATCAGCTTCATGATTTTTCTTTTTTACATAGTTTTCCTTTTTGGTTCTTTCTTTTCTTTCTAAATAGGTTTTACACAATTATTTTGGACAATATTTGTTGATTTATTTAGCTGCAGGGATTTGCCCTTTAGACAAGATAATAAGTAGTGGATTTCTTCTCATTTTTCATGGAACAAATTCTTGTCGTAATAACCGCGTTTGAGAAGCCAAAGTGTGGCAAAAAACTTCTCAACATTTGCTTTTCTCTGTTTGCATAAAACACAACACACCAACATCATTCTTTCTATTCTCTTCTCTTCAATCGGACATATCTACTTCAAGGGACTTCTCTTGTTAGTTCTCATATGAAATCATTGATGCGAGATCTTCAACTTTCAGGGGAGTATGTCGGGCAATATATTGAAACATGATCTGCAAGATGGATCGTAAATGCTCGAGTCAATTTCATAAAATGATTCCACTAAAGTTCGAAAGCAATATGCAAAGAAAGAGAGTACCAACCTTGGAATAGCTATCAGCAAAAGCTCGGGCTCGATTTGACACACCAATATATTGCAAATCCGCCTTCTCAAATCTACCATCCACACAGTTCAGACCTCCATCGCCAATGGCAAAGCGAATAAGGCTTCCTCCAGACAGTCCTGACTGTAATATTCAACATGGCAAGAAGCACACATAGTGAGAAAGCATCCTTAAGCTAATGTAAATTCAATCTGTCATAACCGATACATGGAGTCTATTAGAAAATAAAGCAGTACCAAGCTAGAGGGATCTGTTGGTCTTAGTCTCCTAGAAATAAGGAATCACTAAACAACATCACTAACTAGTATACTTCATAGACTCCGTCAGATCCCTCTATTATATATCTTGAACATACCTCTTTTACAAAATCTGCGTTCAAGCAACCAACTGGTACGGGCGGATCATCTGATGTTACAATTTTACCATCATCTTGCAACTCCAAGACGATCTGCACTTACAAGTTACAGAGAGAATATATGTTAAAATGGCCTTCGTTAATGGAAGTATAACATTAAACACTTTGTATGAAAAACCATGAGATGTATATGTATGTCAATTCCACTTACATGTTGTTGGTTTGGAACTACTCCATTGTTGTCTGTATCAATGACATACTGACTACACCTTTCATCCTTCCATATCAACACCAGAGGAGTATTCCCAGTATGATAATGTCCATGCCTGCGAGTATTACATGAACTTTAGTGGGGAAAGGGGAGATGTTGCCGTATAATAGTTGGCCAGAAACAAATGGCATCAAATTTGTCAAAGAAGAGTACTAGACCAATGGGATTACGTGGTCAAAGACATTGACATCATGATAAACCACGAGTATGAAGCAACAAAGTATAATAACACTCATAGAGCAGACTATAAAAAAAACTGTCCTCTTTCAAATATAATGATCGTCCATCATAATCATATATTCTGATACCAAAACCTTAGAACAACCAGAATTCCCTCTACGCACCTCCCACGACTACCCTTCAGAACTTCCGCTCTCAACTAACTGACTTAAGGTCAATTGCTGAGTGGGAAAAGCTACAGTTAACTTCACAGCGCTTAGACTACTTACAATAAGCCTGCACTAGATTAACAAGAAAAAAAACTGATTCGCAACTACAAGCCTTAATACACACAGCAGACACTATGAGAAAGAAAGATGGAAACTGCAGCAAAATAAATGGCATGTAGGAGAGATGCAATGATGCACTTACTTGTTATAGAACAACAATCCATCCTTGACATAAGGTAATGATCCTGTATAAGCCGAGTGAAGTCCGCTTTGGTCGCAGTTATAAAAAGGAACTGCACTGAACCTGAACTTGTGGTAAAAGGAAGGCGGATCACAAGCACCTGTCTCAGCAAGTTTTGATTGCATCCAAAAGAATCTGAACTCTGCTGTACATTCATAAAGCGAGTAACCCCTCCAACAAACCATATCAACCACATAATAAGTCTGATCCGACTACATGAAACAGGAACAGAGCACGTAGTAAGAACAGGAACAGAGACAAACAGATAAATCAGCGAGAAAGAAGGGGAAAGAAGAAGAAGAAGAAGAATCATTTACCTCGTGAAATATACAATCTAGTATTGAATATGACTGTGCAGGGCCAGAAGCACCTTTCTTCCTGGCACCACCAGGCAACGAAGAAGGGAAATGGTGCAAGACGGATCCATTGCGTAATCTGCTAACAGTTGTTCCATCCGCTGAAACTACAAAGCACCTTTTCCCAGCTGGTCTTGCTAGCACATACCTACAAAGAGTTTACGAAATGGTAAACCAAATGACAAGTTTATAGAGGACAAAATGGCTAATTTCAGAGAGAGCATTACCAATCTATGCTCAGATTATCAGGAACGTCGATCATCCACTCGGGCAGCATTAGCTGCCTCGCGAACCATTTGCGAGCCTCAGGTCCTCTGAGCCTAGACGATTGGCGGACGTCAAAGCTACTCGATTCCGATTCGTGTCCAGCATCGAGGTCAGACACGGATTCAGATAGTAATTCCGGGTCGACATCAAGAGAGGAGGACTGGAGAGAGATGACGGAAGAGGCGAGGTTTCGGGCTCGCTGCTGGGCGTCGGAGCGATTCTGAGACTGGCGGAGAAGGGAAAGTTCTCGGCGTTTTTGTTGATCGGAGATAGGTCGTCGCTTGAAAGGACGGCGAAGATCATGCGGCGCCATTTTCGGAAGAAGAAAGTTCGTATCGAGCTGAGTTTTGAATCTTTATTGACACATGGACAGGCTCGACCTAAAAGCCGGGTTGATGATGACGATCCGACTATTAATCCGGTTTAAGTTTAATCTTAAAATCTAGTGATTAACCGGTTCGTCTACAATAATGAAAGTTGGTGTATCCAGGCAGTTATCACTTTCTTTTTACATGTCATCATCATAGTTTCTTATCATTATTAATTACTTTTATTTTTCCCACCGAGAGAAGCCGTATATATATATACACAATTTACATATATACTCTCTCATTTCTTCGTTTCTTTCTTTCAAAATCCCATTCACCTCTCGCATTGATTCTTTAACCATCGAAGAATCGGAAAGTCTACTGATTGAAAAATCGGAAAAAGAAGCAGAGAAGAAGAGTTATGGTGTCAACGCGACGGAGCGGAGACCTCTCCGGCAACAATACCACCACCACCACCACGCCCAACGGTAGCAGCAGCAAGCGATCTCCATCTTCTTCCGAAGATAAACCCCAATCACCCAAGCGCCAAAAGGTTTCTGATCAAAGACGCTTCTTCTCCATCAAATACCCTTTCCGTGCTTTGTGGAGGGTTCCGGTTTGAATTTTGGCGATTTCCCTTTTCATTTCAGTTAGAAGACGGCGACGCCAGTGTCGAGAAGCCGGCGGGTGTAGCTGGTGATCAGACGGTCCCGGAGGAGACGTCCAAGGACAACTGCACGCTGCCTCCGGTAGTTTCTGGTGAATGCGACGCCGCTCCCGTCTCCGGAGACGCCAAGATTGAGTCCTCCGCGGCAGCTACAACGGCGCCACCACCTGTTGCCGAAGGTTCGTCACTCTTGCTCTTAGTAAATCTTTCAATTGTTCGTCTTCCTTTTCGAATATGTGAACCTCCCGAGTCTGATCTTTTTGGTCAATTCTTCTTTGTTCTTGGATTGAATGTCATTTTCTAGGCTCAACACCGAATTTGGTAGAGAAGCCAATCACTTCTTTCTCTGGATGGAATAAGTATCCGAATCGATTTAACTCTCAGAAACCGTGGTGTAAACTTCTTTCACAGTCTGGACAGGTTGATTAAACCTCCATGGAATGGAGCAAATTACTAGTTAAGTAAAAGAGAGCTTTATTTGTCTTTATCCTAACAACTGAGCTACTTATGAATTTCAGCATCCAAACCTTAGCATATATACATCAATCTTTAGCATTGGTTCTAGTAGAACCTGCAACTTCACTATAAGAGACCCGACAGCCAGTGGAATACTGTGCAAGATCACTAGACATCAGGTATTTTTTCCCTTAAAAGTTACGCTCAGACATCCGCATTCATATAAGGTTTTGAGATATATTATTCTTTCAGAGAATTCAGTAATACACTTGCTTAGCCATGCCTGCCTATTCTCTATGGTTTTTCTACGTTTTTGTTGTTTGTGGAGATACGTGAACTCCTTAAATATGTACGTGCAGTATGTATTCTCATTATTTGTGGACATGTTCAGCCCGAAAGCAGTGGTGTAGCTGTTCTAGAGATCACAGGAAGCAAGGGATCTGTGCTCTATAACGGAACAGTTGTCAAGAAGAATTTCAAACGTTTTCTAGAGTCTGGTGACGAAGTGGTTTTTGGTTCACTTGCGAACTATGCTTTCGTATCCTTATGCCATCCCATTTTTTTTTTTCGTAATTTGTTTGTCATGTGAGGATACACGTAAGTTTTCCCCTTAATTTCTGTCCAGATATTTCAGAAAATGTCTGATGTTGTAGTTAAAGGTGGTGGGCTTCAGAAGCCTGCAGCGAAATTTCTACAGTCAGAGAGAAGGGCAGGAGATACGTCAGCTGTAATAGGGGCTTCAGTTTTGGCATCGCTTTCAAGCTTTAGGCAGGACTTATCTCGTTTGAAATTATCAAGTCATGCATCCAGTAAGAGCCTCCAAGCGCCAGATAAACCTGCTACTTCTGTGGTCCAAGATGGCGCAGAGCTTGAAGTTGATGGCATGGAAGTGAATTTTCCTGTTAATAATCGAAGTGATAAAGCTGCAGATAGTGGAGCAATCAGCAGCCAGGACCAAAATTCGAAAATGGAGGTAATTACTCTATGTTTCTCTGCGATCCTGGTGTCATCAACATTATTTAGCATAATATTAACAAAGCTGGTATCAGATATTATATGAATACGAGTTGAGGAGAAATTCGGAACAAGCTTCAACATCAGGCAATGGTCTACGATCTACAATATTCAGAGAAGACATTCAAGCTGGTGTTGTTGAAGGCAAAAGTTTGGAAGTTTCATTCAAAAATTTTCCCTATTATTTGAGGTATAAGACCAATTCATATTGAGTTTGTTCGGGTACTTATGCAGAGTCAAGATATGTGTACGGGAATCTTTCACTAAGAATCTGTTTATTATCATCATAGAATTTTAAGGTCAAATTTTGCTTTTGGTTTTTTGGTTTCCTCTGAACTTTGAATTATCGTGAATTATCCGTATTTGAGTTGGAAAATATTAGAGGTCTATCTTCCCTTTGCAGTCTTTCACACAAATCATTTTTTCTATTGTCTTTGGTATTTTGGGCTTTGCAATGGGTACTGTAAGTTGTTTACAGTAAGATGATTGTTTTATTTTTGCAGTGAGAATACAAAGAATGTCTTGATAGCTGCTTCACATATACATCTGAAGCAAAAAGAATATGCCAAGTATGCCTCCGACTTGACCACTTTGAATCCAAGGATATTGCTTTCTGGTCCCGCAGGTTTGTGGTATTTTGCGTGTGTGGTTCCTGTAGTCTTCTAGCGGCAACATAATTTTTGCTATTTGGCTGGAATTGTTGCAGGATCTGAAATATACCAAGAGATGCTAGTTAAAGCACTTGCCAATTACTTCGAGGCGAAATTGCTTATATTTGACAGCCATCCTATTTTGGGGGTAAGATGTTATGATTTTTCTTAAATACATGTCTAAGCTGTTTTTGTGACGAGTAAATGTTAGTTAGATGAAAAGAATGATGATATGCTTGATATTTAACAAGACGGAAATACTTCCATCTACAATTATTTGTCTGTTTCCCTGACTATGGGTCTGAATTACCAGAAGTAATTCCTGGTGCATCCGTTATGCAATTTCCTGCAGGCTCTGAGTGCTAAGGAAGTTGAGTCACTGAAGGATGGACTTGCTTCTGACAAATCATGTACGCGTCCAAGTCAGTGTCTTGAACTCACTGATCGGGGGAAAAGCTCGGATTTGTCAGCAGGTGAAGGAGATGTGTCTAGCCCTTCTCCTACGGCTTCTTCTTGTCCAGACTCACAGCCTAAGTTGGAGGCGAGGACTTTACCTCGTTCATTTAGAACTCCAGTGAATCGTACTATGAAGAAAGGCATGCCCTTTTAAATTGTTTACAGAAGATTCTTTTTCAATACTCTTAGATTTCTGGTTGATGATAATTCATATGAGAAGAAAACACTTGCAGGTGACAGGGTCAGATTCTCCGCTGCTAAGTTGCATCAGGGGCTATCTATTTATAGGTTTGCTTCTTATGATAGTTCTGATTGAGGCAGCTGATAGTAGCTTCTATATAGTACGAATTTGAATGCTTGTCGGTTCTGGTGTAGAATGAATCTTCTTTTACTAGAAAGGAAAAGTTTATTGATATTACTATACTTACATCCAAGAAGTATACATCTGTTTCCTATCTTTTATGTTATTCTAAATATATTTCTGCATTTTTTTTTGCGCTAGGCTTAAGGAAATATCTTCTGAATTTTTTCTCTTGCCTTTATACATTCTCTCCATAGTTCAATGATCCACTTTTTAACTTAAATTTAATTCAGGGGTCCTCCTTCTGGGAGTAAAGGGAAAGTTGTTTTAGCTTTTGATAAGAATACTTCAGCTAAAAAAGTGGGTGTTAGATTTGATAAGCCCATACCTGATGGAGTGGATCTTGGTGATCTGTGTGAAAAGGGGCATGGGTTCTTCTGCAATGGTACTTCTTGTTCCGTAGTGCATTGCTTACTGGTCCCCCGTAGCTCTTGTCTCACAAGCTGTTTCTTCTGTTTCTTTTCTATAGCTGCTGATCTTCGTTTCGAAAGGTCGGGTTCTGAGGATCTGGATAAATTGCTTATTAACACATTGTTTGAGGTACTTGTTCTCTCAGTTGCAAAGTGATAAATTTGTTCTGGGTCTTATATTTTCCATATGTTTATATCTTTATCTCGTTCCAGGTTGTCCATGATGAGAGCAGAACTTGTCCGTTTATTCTATTTTTGAAAGATGCTGAGAAGTTTGTCGTTGGAAATTCCGATTCGTACTCTGCGTTTAAAAGCAGACTTGAACATCTCCCTGAAAACGTTATTGTGATCGGTTCACAGACACACACTGATAATCGCAAGGAGAAGGTATCTACTGTGCAATGCGTTTTCCCTAATTGCATGCATTGAGCTCATTTAGTTAAATAGAAAGATGTCCTAGGGCAAATAAGTGTGATTCTTTTTTTCTTTATGCGTTTCTCAGGCATTTATATCACTACCAATTGTTTGTTTGTGACCATTCTAGCTGCTGCATTTTCCGTATTTCATAGGTTGAAGTAGACTTTGAATATTGTGTGTTCACGAAATTGTTTACTTGATTCGTCCTGATAAATACTCTTAACCATTCAAATATTTTAGAGTGTAAGTGTTAGGCACTATGTCATTTGTTAGGGTAGTCGGTCTTTCAAAATGACCTCTGTAAACTTCTTGTAATTGTAAAAGATATTAATTGCAAATAAAACAAGTCTCAGGAGTCAGGATCGATATAAAATTGATTATCTTTGTAATGTGAGCACATTTTACTTCGACTTGGTTACTTGTTACTCTCGGTTTCGAATCCATAGCTAGCTCATTTATTTTCATCTCTTTTGCAGGCTCATCCTGGAGGTCTATTTTTCACCAAGTTCGGCGGCAACCAAACTGCTCTTCTTGACTTAGCTTTTCCAGTAAATCAACGCCCTCTCCTCTTTTTTGTTTCATAAGTAGGAAAATTTAACATAACAAGATTAGTATAGTCATTCTTGAGGCAAATGGCCATTTTCTTTTACCACTTAATGCATGTTTTCCGGGTTCTTCTGCTAGTTTTTCTTTATGACCGTTATGTCTTGACTTTGTTTTCCTGTTCATGCTCATTTATGCCTGACATTAACTCTCATCTGTTCTGTTTTCTAGCCGCCTTAGCTCTGCATGCACCTTTGAAACAAGCCTCTAGCATATTTGATCCAGCTATTCTTGTTTCAACTGGCTAGTGCGAATTCGCAGATTATTTCCTTCTCTTATTTGGTGGTGGGACTAATGTTACCTTTGCTTAATATTCCCAGGACATTGGACGATTACGTGAGCTTGGCAAGGAAATCCCGAAAGCAACGAAACTTCTAACGAAGCTCTTTGAGAATAGAGTTACTATTTACATGCCACAGGTTTGTAACTATGTTCTACTAGACATAAGCATTCTCGTCTGATATCTGTCAAAGAAACCATAGACTTAATGGAGTAATTAATCCCAGGATGAGGATCTTCTTACATCCTTGAACCATCAGTTAGATCGTGATGCTGAGACTCTGAAAATGAAGGCTAATTTCAGTCACTTGCGCAAGGTATGTCTTTCCTCTGAATATATGGTAGGGATATGTTTTAGCTGTCTTCGTGGATTTAGTATGTAATTGGAAAAAGGTCATGAGCATTTTATGCCTGGAAATATCAGACTGCAATCATATTTCAATCCCAGTGAGAAATCTTTAATTTTCTTAGATGCACTCATTTGCATATTTGGCTTTATTAAATCTGTGGCATTTTGGCTGCTCGTAAAAGCCTTTACCTCTATTTTTCCTCTTCTTTCAAATCTTGATTGCTAGAATAGCAAATATTGATAGCATACCTTCTAGACTAGCTTGCTTCTTCTCTGGTGTACTAGGTTACCTGTTTTCCATAAGGCACAATTCCATTTCCTATTTTAAAACAGGGGCTTTACAGAAGTTTTTAAGAACGAATCGATTATTGCATCTTCATTCAGGTGCTGGGACGATGTGATCTGGAATGTGAAGGAATTGAGACGCTGTGCATGAAGGATCTCACACTTCAAAGCGACAGTATGTTTTCCCTTTGTTCGGCACAATGGTCTGGAATGTGAAGGAATTGACAATGGAATGCTTTTCTAAAAACTTGACTTTGACTTTCTACTTCAGGTGCAGAAAAGATCGTTGGATGGGCTCTTAGTGACCATATAAAGCGTAACCCTGATGCTGATCCAGATACTAGGATTGTGTTGTCTCTTGATAGGTAATTGGTAGCTTGTCCCTGTGCATTACTGCTCTTATATATCAGTTTCAGTACTGAATGTGAACTTTGGACTTGCAGCATAGAATTTGGAATTGGAGTTTTACAGGCTCTTCTAAATGAATCTACGAGCTTAAAGTATTCTCTCAAGGTTAGCAAATTGTCTTGGAATAAATTAAATTATTTGCATACTGGCTCACATTATGGAAATGGCTCTATCATATAACACCTGTTGAATTTTTCTCTGTTGATTTCAGGACGTTGTGACAGAAAATGAGTTTGAGAAGAGGCTTTTAAGTGACGTTATTCCGCCCAGTGATATTGGTGTTACATTTGATGACATTGGGGCACTTGAGAATGTCAAAGACACCTTAAAGGAATTGGTTATGCTTCCCTTACAGCGGCCTGAACTTTTCTGCAAGGGGCAATTAACAAAGGTGGTTCTCTTCTCTGCCTTAGGTTTTAGAAATATCCCATAATTCTTTACTAGGTCCTGCCTTGAATTTATTACAGATGTATGAAGGGCTCAACTTCTAATTGAGTGTGCCTGTATACATGTCCATGATTTCTTTGGAGTAACGCTGATATTAGTTATACTGGCTGATAATTTGACTTTCCTCAAATGTCTTCTCTCCTTCATTTTAGTTGTTAGGAAAATATAAGATAATTGTGTTTTGACATGTGCATTGGTGGTTTCCTAATCAGCGCTGCTCTTGTTCTTCTCTATGCAGCCTTGTAAAGGAATTCTTCTATTTGGACCTCCTGGAACGGGAAAGACTATGCTTGCGAAGGCAGTGGCAACGGAAGCTGGTGCTAACTTCATCAACATCTCAATGTCCAGCATCGCATCTAAGGTAACAGAATACCTGAAAATTTGAACTCTACCGACCTAAGTAGGGACTCTCATGTTCAAACTTGTGTTCTTCATTCTGCAGTGGTTTGGCGAGGGTGAGAAGTATGTCAAGGCTGTCTTTTCGCTGGCCAGTAAAATTTCCCCTAGCGTTATCTTTGTAGACGAGGTACTTTTTCATGGTCAAATCTTCAGTGAATGTTGCTTGTAATCAAAGCACTGGCAATCTTAAGAATATTTTATGGTCTTGTAGGTGGACAGCATGCTAGGCCGAAGAGAAACCCCGGGGGAACATGAGGCCATGCGGAAGATGAAAAACGAGTTCATGATAAATTGGGACGGTCTAAGGACAAAGGAGAAGGAACGTGTTCTGGTTCTCGCAGCCACCAATCGGCCTTTTGACCTTGATGAGGCGGTCATTAGACGGTTGCCCCGTAGGTAATTTTAAGTGGCTTCCTTGTTGGACTACTGCTTTTTGTCAAATTGACATGACGTTGTAGGTTGTGAAACGTTTGTGGTATGGAATCGTGCAGGTTGATGGTTGGACTACCAGATGCTCCGAATAGAGCAAAGATACTAAGGGTTATACTTGCAAAAGAAGACTTGTCCCCTGATGTTGATCTTGATGGAGTTGCTAGTATGACTGATGGATATTCTGGAAGCGATCTTAAGGTAAATCCCTAGTATTTCCTTTATATTTTGTTATAATCTGCCAAAATGATAGTAAATGCAAAATAATACTCATATTCCTTGTCATTTTCTTTCGGGTGCGCGCAGAATCTATGTGTAACTGCTGCCCACCGTCCAATCAAGGAGATATTGGAGAAAGAAAAAAATGTGAGTTTTCTGTGTATACACACACATTATCATGCGTAAACTTCACTGTAATATAATATATGTTTATGAGGGGATATTATTGGATGGTAGGAGCGAGATGCTGCTTTGGCTGAAGGTAAAGCTCCTCCAGCTCTAAGTGGAAGTTCTGATATCAGAGCTTTAAACATGCAGGATTTCAGATACGCACATGAGCAGGTAAGATTTACTTATGCTTGGTTTTTGTTTTCTTTTTTCATGTCACACTCAGTCTCAGAGAACTGTAACCGTTGTCCCTTGGTGTTGAATCAGGTGTGCGCGAGCGTCTCGTCAGAATCGGTGAACATGACAGGGCTTCAACAATGGAACGAACTCTACGGAGAAGGTGGATCTAGAAAGAAGAAATCACTCAGCTACTTCATGTAGGATTGAATCTACTTCAGAAACCATAACTCAGTTTTAGTCACGAAAAGAGCTCTCGGTTGGAGGTAGAATGTGTTGTATATGTAGTTTGTTCAGGGGAATATAGAGAAAAGAAATAAGTGACAAAAAGTTGAACGAGACTGTTTTGTTGTGTTCGATCTTTGGGTTTGTATAGCAGGTTATGTCCTTCTTGTAGTGACTTTCGACAGATTAACCGGTTTTAGTCGGGTTTTTTTTAGAGAAGAAAGAACAAGTCAGGTTCAGTCACTAGTTTCAAATGACTTGTATCTTGGCGGGGATGAATAACAAATGTTTTCTCTGCAACTTTAACTGGTTGTTAGCGAGACTTTTGTACCCTTGAGTTCGACAATCTTCTCACATTTCTGGCCAAACCAAAGATTCGATTGCAAGAAATATCCACCTTGAGTTTGCTTATGAGCATTCACGAGAAAAGAAAAAAATCATAACTGTTTTCATAATAGCTTAATCCGGATTAGAAGAGAACACAAGCGGGTCAAAATAGTACAGGGCCTGGCCGGGCCGGGTTTAAAAACTGTTTTTTTCTTTGTTAATGTTTAATTGATAACTCTCCATCTCCGGGATCAATTCAGGCTTCTCGCACAGAGGAATCAGTGAATCGGAAATGTCAGATCTAGTAGCGACGTTGCCGTCGCCGTCTTCGGCGCCGAGATCCGCCTCAGACTTCTTCTCCGATCCTTACGACTCACATCCTCTATGGTTCAAGCCTTCCCTCTTCCTTTCCCCTGGCTTCGACTCCGAGTCCTACATCTCTGAGCTCCGTACATTCGTTCCCTTTGACACTCTCCGATCCGAGCTCCGCTCCCACCTTGCATCCCTGAATCGCGAACTTGTTGATCTCATCAATCGAGACTATGCCGATTTCGTCAATTTAAGCACTAAGCTCGTCGATATCGATGCCGCTGTAGTACGCATGCGCGCCCCGCTCCTTGACCTCCGTGAGAAGATCACTGGGTTTCGTGGATCCGTGGAGGCCGCACTTTTCGCACTAAGGAGTGGATTGCAGCAGCGTTCCCATGCTGCTGCTGCCAGGGAGGTTCTCGAATTGTTGCTCGACACTTTTCATGTGGTGTCCAAGGTACTTGGTTTTGGATTCTCAATCTTAATTTTCCACTGAGCAAGTGTTTTGTCTCGTTTTAAATCTCGATTCTGCTTCTGCTCGTCATTGGTTCCATATTCTAGCGATCTATTGTTTGGAGATATTTACTTTGCTGGTTAGAGATCTGGATCACGGGACGTGTGTAAGCTTGTCGATCGTTATAGTGTACTCTAGTAGAGATTTTTCTTCAATATCCTCATTGTAAAACCATCTGTTGTTAGTAATCCTTAAAATGGTTTTGCGTTGTGGTTACGTTTACACTGAGCAAATATCCATTTCTCTTTTGTTTACTTCCTGACTATATAATGTGAATGTTTGACGTAAATAATGTATGATCATTGTGAATGTAGGTTGAAAAGCTTATAAAAGTTCTACCAAGTGCTCCTTCTGATTGGCAAAACGAGGATGCTAATTCCCTGGGAAGGAGCTCTATGAGTGTTGAAACTTCCACGCAGCAAGATGGCACAACCATGAGAGAAACCCAGAGCATGCTTTTGGAAAGAATAGCTAGTGAAATGAACCGGCTCAAGTTTTATATGGCTCATGCACAGGTCTCCATCATGCATTTTCTTTCTTTCTTTTCTTTGCTAAGCTTTTTTTTTTCTTTTTTTTTTGCGAAGTCACAATTCCTTGTCCGTCACAAAATATATATTACATTAGGAATGCACTTTGTTCCTTTTACAGTCCAAGGTATGAACATCTGGACAAGTTTTCCAAGGAATATATGGAGACAATTGATGGTAGGAAAATTCAGTCCCAGCTGCTCTGGAGTGTCAAAGTTATAAAGAGAATAGCAAAAAAACTCTGTCTCTTATAAGAAAATAATGAAAGAGGTTTTTGAGTATACTGCATTTAGAATAGTATCTTGGGGGATCAAAACTAGTTATGCGTATGGGGCTTGAGAAGTGGCTGGGGTGCTACGAGTATTCATTGGCTTTAATAAGATTGTTGACAAAAATAAAATAAAAATAAAACTGATTACAGGAGATGCTACCTGGTAAAATATTGTCAAATCTCTGGTATTCTGAAAAACTCCATTGTACTTGTTAGCCTCAGAACACAATATACAGTATTACGGCTGATACTCACTACTTTTTTCTGTTATGCCAGTACAGAACCTGCCTTTCATTGAGAACATGGAGAAGAGGATTCAGAGCGCTAGTGTCTTATTGGATGCTAGCCTAGGTCATTGCTTCATTGACGGGCTAAACAACAGCGACACAAGCGTCCTTTACAACTGCCTACGTGCATACGCTGCCATTGATAACACCAAGAATGCAGAAGAAAATTTTCGTACAACAATTGTGGCTCCATTTGTACATAAAATTATTGCACATGAATCATCATCGGATGCTGCTGGAACATCGGGAGATGAACTTGATAACGATTACAAACAGATCAAGCATTTTATTGAGAAGGACTGTAAAATGCTACTAGAAATATCTTCAACCGGTAATTCGCTCGTTCTTTGTGATCACATTTAATGTAGATCTCCAATTGCATTTTATAGTTACATTTTTCTCCGGCAAAGAATTTCTAAGAAGAATTTTACGCAGCTAACATGATGTCATAACAATCATGTTCGTTAATCACAATTATACGTTGTTTCTTTCTTACTGTTGTCGTTTTATATTTCACGAAATGCACTCTTTGCTTGGTATTTTGTTGCTACGACAGACAAATCGGGTTTGCACGTCTTCAACTTCTTGGCAAATTCAATTCTGAAAGAAGTTCTTTCGGCAATCCAGAAAGTCAAACCAGGCGCATTTTCTCCTGGAAGGCCTACTGAGTTCTTGAAGAATTACAAGGCAAGCTTGGAATTCTTGGCATATCTTGAAGGTAGGATAGCTGATCTATACCTTTCTCTGAGCTTGATGTCATGGGCTTATCAGATGCATTGTGAACTAATCGTCATGTGTCTTGAATAAGCAAATAGTTTTATTTAATACTAGGTGATGACATTATTTGAATATTTTTCAGTAGTCATACCATATACTTTTTTATGAAGGTTATTGTCCGTCAAGACCTGCTGTCACTAAGTTTCGTACTGAGGCGGTATGTATCGAATTCATGAAGCAATGGAATGTGGGAGTATACTTTTCACTGAGGTATTTGAGAAATATTAGATGGCGGTTGACTCACTGTTAGAATAATGGCTTCTTAGCTTCTCTAACTCGAAAATACATAATTTCAGGTTTCAGGAGATAGCTGGAGCCTTGGATTCTGCTCTTACTTCTCCTTCTCTGGTTTTCATTCAGAATTCTGATTTAGATAAACAGAGTTTTCCCAACTTAATGCTCAGACAGAGCGCTACTCTTTTGGAGAGCCTGCGTTCATGCTGGAAAGAAGATGTTCTGGTTTTCTCTGCTGCTGACAAATTTCTTCGATTGGCCTTGCAGCTTCTTTCGAGGTTTGTAAAATTTGACTTTAAGATTATTGCTTATTAGTTTCTGTTTCAGTTCTCATTGTGACAATGTTTTTATAACATGTAGATATTGCAATTGGGTATCATCTGCGCTGCATAGTAGAAAGGGTAATGCCAGGCCGAGTCTTGCTGGATGTGATTGGGCAGTTTCAGGCACTGCAGAAGATTTTGTATATGTAAGTCAGTTTTTATCTGCATTGTTTGTCAGCTCCTCTTAGTTTTTTTTTTTCTTTTGGAATTTCTGCAATTTCGTGTTTACAAATTCAGCTGCAGTTATGTTGTGACGGACAGCTTATAATATGCTTCCTTTGTGTGTGTGTGTGTGTAATCTTAATTTTAGAATTAGAATGACAAAAAAATGCTGTGGAAAACAAGTGAACTCGAAATAGTTTCTGTTTGCATATATACATGAAATTTGGTTATATAGACCGTATAGTTGATCATTTGATTTTCTAGGAATATTTACACATCTCCTTCCTTGCAGGTTATACATGATGTAAATTATCTAGTTTCAGAAGTTTGTGGCGATTACCTTGGACATATATCACACTATTTATCTTCATGCTCCACTGAAGTTCGTGATGTGGTGAGGATGAGCATGTTACAGGGTGGAGATAAATTAAAGGAAGTCCTACCTTTACTTACCAACACGATTATTGAAGTCATTGTTGATAAATCTGTTGAGGTAAAATCCTGAAGAAACATTAGGTCCATCATCTAATTTATGCACTTGAAGATTTGTTTGACGGCCTTAATGAGCACCTGCAAGAACAGTGTTAATTAATTTGACTTATAGCTGGATAGGTTAGTGTTATTCTCTACGTAACATACGTGGTAAATGCTTTCATCTCTTTATAGGACCTAAGGCATGTCAAGGGAATAACGGCAACATATCGGATGACTAATAAACCACCGCCGGTTAGGCACTCACCATATGTCGTTGGCATATTGCGTCCTGTAAAGGTATTAATTCAACTTTGGGGTTGCGGTTTTAAGAACGTTCGTAATTACTTGATTGATGGATTCTGAAAAGTTGATTATTGCACCTTCTCTATTAATAGGCCTTTTTGGAGGGAGATAAGGCTACACATTACTTGACGGAGGAAACAAGGGAGGAGTTATTGCTTGGCACTGTCACTGAAATTACCAGGCGGTATTACGAATTGGCTGATGAAGTTGTTAGCGTGGTAAGTATTCTGTTTTAAACACTTTATGAAGATTAGTAATTAGTACAACTCACGAGTGAGCTTTTAAGAGTGAGATTTATCATTTATAAATCTGAAGAGAAACTCTTCTAAATATGCTCAATAGTAAATATCAATAGCACAAATTTTTAAATATCTTCAAAAATATTTATGGATGAAAAATTACCTAGTGGCCATCCATTTTTCCCCTTAAAAGGCGTTTCAATCTGTTATTGGTTTAGTATATAAAGCGGAGATTATCAGTGTAGTTTATGTGTAGTAAAAGGGGGTAGAGATACTAATTGTAATAAGTTACAGGCCAGAAAAACAGAGTCATCGCTTCAGCAATTCCGTAAAAAGGCACAGAAACGAGTAGGTGCAGCATCAGGTGTCTCTGACGACTATGTATCTGAAACAGACAAGATGTGTATGCAATTATTCCTTGATACTCAGGTAACTCTTCTTATGGCTTCATTGTGTCAAATAAAATATACATCTGGAAATAGTAAGCGTATAAAGAAGTGTTACATTACATACTCGGTTAATCTCTCTGAACAGGAGTATGGCCGAAACATATCTGCGT